AAAAATAAAAATCTGAGACATTTCGTCTTCAAGAAAGCAGCAACAGGCCTCAGCACAGGTGTCTGCCTCACATATAAGTTTATTAAATATAGGCCAAAGGAAAAGCGCCACTTTATGCTGAAGCGCATGGAGCTTTTCGTTTAGCTTCGTTTAGCTCCGGAAACACATCCAGCACTGACTTGAGGGTGAGATATAAAGTGCTGAATCTGGTCTCAGCCATTTGCAGAACAGTCTTTGAGAGCTGTGCAGCCAATCCAGGTTGTTTCACGTGTCTGACTTTAGCCCCCGTCCTTGTCTCGCTGATCGTCCCAACGTCTGTGTTTGTCCCAACGTCTGTGTTCGTCCCAACGTCTGTGTTCGTCCCAACGTCTGTGTTCGTCCCAATGTCTGTGTTCGTCCCAACGTCTGTGTTCGTCCCAATGTCTGTGTTCGTCCCAACGTCTGTGCTCGTCCCAATGTCTGTGTTCGTCCCAACGTCTGTGTTCGTCCCAACGTCTGTGTTCGTCCCAACGTCTGTGTTCGTCCCAATGTCTGTGTTCATCCCAATGTCTGTGTTCGTCCCAACGTCTGTGTTCGTCCCAACGTCTGTGTTCGTCCCAACGTCTGTGTTCGTCCCAACGTCTGTGTTCGTCCCAACGTCTGTGTTCGTCCCAACGTCTGTGTTCGTTCCAATGTCTGTGTTCGTCCCAACGTCTGTGTTCGTCCCAACGTCTGTGTTCGTCCCAATGTCTGTGTTCGTCCCAATGTCTGTGTTCGTCCCAATGTCTGTGTTCGTCCCAAAGTCTGTGTTTGTCCCAACGTCTGTGTTCGTCCCAATGTCTGTGTTCGTCCCAACGTCTGTGTTCGTCCCAACGTCTGTGTTCGTCCCAACGTCTGTGTTCATCCCAATGTCTGTGTTCGTCCCAATGTCTGTGTTCATCCCAATGTCTGTTTTCGTCCCAACGTCTGTGTTCGTCCCAATGTCTGTGTCTGTGTTCGTCCCAATGTCTGTGTTCGTCCCAATGTCTGTGTTCGTCCCAACGTCTGTGTTCGTCCCAACGTCTGTGTTCGTCCCAATGTCTGTGTCTGTGTTCGTCCCAATGTCTGTGTTCGTCCCAACGTCTGTGTTCGTCCCAACGTCTGTGTTCGTCCCAACGTCTGTGTTCGTCCCAACGTCTGTGTTCGTCCCAAAGTCTGTGTTCGTCCCAACGTCTGTGTTCGTCCCAACGTCTGTGTTCGTTCCAATGTCTGTGTTCGTCCCAACGTCTGTGTTCGTCCCAACGTCTGTGTTCGTCCCAACGTCTGTGTTCGTCCCAACGTCTGTGTTCGTCCCAACGTCTGTGTTCGTCCCAATGTCTGTGTTCGTCCCAACGTCTGTGCTCGTCCCAACGTCTGTGTTCATCCCAATGTCTGTGTTCGTCCCAACGTCTGTGTTCGTCCCAACGTCTGTGTTCGTTCCAATGTCTGTGTTCGTCCCAACGTCTGTGTTCGTCCCAACGTCTGTGTTCGTCCCAACGTCTGTGTTCGTCCCAACGTCTGTGTTCGTCCCAACGTCTGTGTTCGTCCCAATGTCTGTGTTCGTCCCAACGTCTGTGTTCGTCCCAACGTCTGTGTTCGTCCCAATGTCTGTGTTCGTCCCAACGTCTGTGTTCGTCCCAACGTCTGTGTTCATCCCAATGTCTGTGTTCGTCCCAATGTCTGTGTTCATCCCAATGTCTGTTTTCGTCCCAACGTCTGTGTTCGTCCCAATGTCTGTGTCTGTGCTCGTCCCAACGTCTGTGTTCGTCCCAATGTCTGTGTTCATCCCAATGTCTGTTTTCGTCCCAACGTCTGTGTTTGTCCCAATGTCTGTGTCTGTGTTCGTCCCAACGTCTGTGTTCGTCCCAACCTCTGTGTTCGTCCCAATGTCTGTGTTCGTCCCAATGTCTGTGTTCGTCCCAATGTCTGTGTTCGTTCCAATGTCTGTGTCTGTGCTCGTCCCAATGTCTGTGTTCGTCCCAATGTCTGTGTCTGTGCTCGTCCCAACGTCTGTGTTCGTCCCAACGTCTGTGTTCGTCCCAATGTCTGTTTTCGTCCCAATGTCTGTGTTCGTCCCAATGTCTGTGTCTGTGCTCGTCCCAATGCCTGTGTTCGTCCCAATGTCTGTGTCTGTGTTCGTCCCAACGTCTGTGTTCGTCCCAATGTCTATGTTCGTCCCAATGTCTGTGTCTGTGCTTGTCCCAACGTCTGTGTTCGTCCCAACGTCTGTGTTCGTCCCAATGTCTATGTCTGTGTTCGTCCCAACGTTTGTGTTCGTCCCAATGTCTGTGTTCGTCCCAATGTCTGTGTCTGTGTTCGTCCCAACGTCTGTGTTCGTCCTAATGTCTGTGTTCGTCCCAATGTCTGTGTTCATCCCAATGTCTGTGTATGTGTTCGTCCCAACGTCTGTGTTCGTCCCAATGTCTGTGTTCATCCCAATGTCTGTGTATGTGTTCGTCCCAACGTCTGTGTTCGTCCTAATGTCTGTGTTCGTCCCAATGTCTGTGTCTGAGTTCGTCCCAATGTCTGTGTCTGTGTTCGTCCCAACGTCTGTGTTCGTCCCAATGTCTGTTTTCGTCCCAATGTCTGTTTTCGTCCCAATGTCTGTTTTCGTCCCAATGTCTGTGTTCGTCCCAACGTCTGTGTCTGTGCTCGTCCCAATGTCTGTGTTCGTCCCAATGTCTGTTTTCATCCCAATGTCTGTTTTTGTCCCAATGTCTGTGTTCGTCCCAATGTCTGTGTTCGTCCCAATGTCTGTGTCTGTGCTTGTCCCAACGTCTGTGTTCGTCCCAATGTCTGTGTTCGTCCCAACGTCTGTGTTCGTCCCAACGTCTGTGTTCGTCCCAACGTCTGTGTTTGTCCCAACGTCTGTGTTCGTCCCAACGTCTGTGTTCGTCCCAACGTCTATGTTCGTCCCAATGTTTGTGTTCGTCCCAATGTCTGTGTTCGTCCCAACGTCTGTGTCTGTGATCGTCCCAACGTCTGTGTTCGTCCCAACGTCTATGTTCGTCCCAATGTCTGTGTTCGTCCCAATGTCTGTGTTCGTCCCAATGTCTGTGTCTGTGTTCGTCCCAATGTCTGTGCTCGTCCCAATGTCTGTGTTTGTCCCAATGTCTGTGTTCATCCCAATGTCTGTGTTCGTCCCAATGTCTGTGTCTGTGCTCGTCCCAACGTCTGTGTTTGTCCCAATGTCTGTGTTCGTCCCAATGTCTGTGTTCGTCCCAATGTCTGTGTCTGTGCTCGTCCTAACGTCTGTGTTCGTCCCAATGTGTGTGCTCGTCCCAATGTCTGTGTTCGTCCCAACGTCTGTGTTCGTCCCAATGTCTGTGTTCGTCCCAATGTCTGTGCTCGTCCCAATGTCTGTGTTCGTCCCAATGTCTGTGTTCGTCCCAATGTCTGTGTTTGTCCCAATGTCTGTGTCTGTGCTCGTCCCAACGTCTGTGTTCGTCCCAATGTCTGTGTTCGTCCCAATGTCTGTGCTCGTCCCAATGTCTGTGTCTATGTTCGTCCCAATGTCTGTGTGTGTGCTCGTCCCAACGTCTGTGTTCGTCCCAATGTCTGTGCTCGTCCCAATGTCTGTGTTCGTCCCAATGTCTGTGTCTGTGCTCGTCCTAACGTCTGTGTTCATCCCAATGTCTGTGTTCGTCCCAATGTCTGTGTTCGTCCCAATGTCTGTGTTCGTCCCAATGTCTGTGTTCGTCCCAACGTCTGTGTTCGTCCTAATGTCTGTGTTCGTCCCAATGTCTGTGTCTGAGTTCGTCCCAACGTCTGTGTTCGTCCCAATGTCTGTGTCTGTGTTCGTCCCAACGTCTGTGTTCGTCCCAATGTCTGTTTTCGTCCCAATGTCTGTTTTCGTCCCAATGTCTGTTTTCGTCCCAATGTCTGTGTTCGTCCCAATGTCTGTGTCTGTGCTCGTCCCAATGTCTGTGTTCGTCCCAATGTCTGTTTTCATCCCAATGTCTGTTTTTGTCCCAATGTCTGTGTTCGTCCCAATGTCTGTGTTCGTCCCAATGTCTGTGTCTGTGCTTGTCCCAACGTCTGTGTTCGTCCCAATGTCTGTGTTCGTCCCAACGTCTGTGTTCGTCCCAACGTCTGTGTTCGTCCCAACGTCTGTGTTTGTCCCAACGTCTGTGTTCGTCCCAACGTCTGTGTTCGTCCCAACGTCTATGTTCGTCCCAATGTTTGTGTTCGTCCCAATGTCTGTGTTCGTCCCAACGTCTGTGTCTGTGATCGTCCCAACGTCTGTGTTCGTCCCAACGTCTATGTTCGTCCCAATGTCTGTGTTCGTCCCAATGTCTGTGTTCGTCCCAATGTCTGTGTCTGTGTTCGTCCCAATGTCTGTGCTCGTCCCAATGTCTGTGTTTGTCCCAATGTCTGTGTTCATCCCAATGTCTGTGTTCGTCCCAATGTCTGTGTCTGTGCTCGTCCCAACGTCTGTGTTTGTCCCAATGTCTGTGTTCGTCCCAATGTCTGTGTTCGTCCCAATGTCTGTGTCTGTGCTCGTCCTAACGTCTGTGTTCGTCCCAATGTGTGTGCTCGTCCCAATGTCTGTGTTCGTCCCAACGTCTGTGTTCGTCCCAATGTCTGTGTTCGTCCCAATGTCTGTGCTCGTCCCAATGTCTGTGTTCGTCCCAATGTCTGTGTTCGTCCCAATGTCTGTGTTTGTCCCAATGTCTGTGTCTGTGCTCGTCCCAACGTCTGTGTTTGTCCCAATGTCTGTGTTCGTCCCAATGTCTGTGCTCGTCCCAATGTCTGTGTCTATGTTCGTCCCAATGTCTGTGTGTGTGCTCGTCCCAACGTCTGTGTTCGTCCCAATGTCTGTGCTCGTCCCAATGTCTGTGTTCGTCCCAATGTCTGTGTCTGTGCTCGTCCTAACGTCTGTGTTCATCCCAATGTCTGTGTTCGTCCCAATGTCTGTGTTCGTCCCAATGTCTGTGTTCGTCCCAACGTCTGTGTTCGTCCCAATGTCTGTGCTCGTCCCAATGTCTGTGTTCGTCCCAATGTCTGTGTCTGTGCTCGTCCGAACGTCTGTGTTCATCCCAATGTCTGTGTTCGTCCCAATGTCTGTGTTCGTCCCAATGTCTGTGTTCGTCCCAATGTCTGTGTTCGTCCCAACGTCTGTGTTCGTCCCAATGTCTGTGCTCGTCCCAATGTCTGTGTTCGTCCCAACGTCTGTGTTCGTCCTAATGTCTGTGTTCGTCCCAACGTCTGTGTTCGTCCCAATGTCTGTGTTCGTCCCAACGTCTGTGTTCGCCCCAATGTCTGTGTTCGTCCCAATGTCTGTGTTCGTCCCAATGTCTGTGTTCGTGTTCGTCCCAATGTCTGTGTTCGTCCCAACGTCTGTGTTCGTCCCAATGTCTGTGCTCGTGTTCGTCCCAATGTCTGTGTTCGCCCCAATGTCTGTGTTCGTCCCAACGTCTGTGTTCGCCCCAATGTCTGTGTTCGCCCCAATGTCTGTGTTCGTCCCAATGTCTGTGTTCGTCCCAATGTCTGTGTTCGTGTTCGTCCCAATGTCTGTGCTCGTCCCAATGTCTGTGTTCGTCCCAATGTCTGTGTTTGTCCCAATGTCTGTGTTCGTCCCAATGTCTGTGTTCGTCCCAATGTCTGTGTTCGTCCCAATGTCTGTGTTCGTGTTCGTCCCAATGTCTGTGTTCGTCCCAACGTCTGTGTTCGTCCCAACGTCTGTGTTCGTCCCAATGTCTGTGTTCGTCCCAATGTCTGTGTTCGTCCCAATGTCTGTGTTCGTCCCAATGTCTGTGCTCGTCCCAATGTCTGTGTTCGTCCCAATGTCTGTGTTCGTCTCAACGTCTGTGTTCGTCCCAACGTCTGTGTTCGTCCCAACGTCTGTGTTCGTCCCAACGTCTGTGTTCGTCCCAACGTCTGTGTTCGTCCCAATGTCTGTGCTCGTCCCAATGTCTGTGTTCGTCCCAACGTCTGTGTTCGTCCCAACGTCTGTGTTCGTCCCAATGTCTGTGTTCGTCCCAATGTCTGTGTTCGTCCCAATGTCTGTGTTCGTCCCAATGTCTGTGTTCGTCCCAATGTCTGTGTTCGTCCCAATGTCTGTGTTCGTCCCAATGTCTGTGTTCGTCCCCATGTCTGTGTTCGTCCCAACGTCTGTGATTGCCAGTGTTTGTTTCAGTTACATGTTGTTCTCTTTTCATCTCCGCTTTTTCCAAACATGCGTTGGATATCGTACCGTGGTGTGGTAAACCTGAGGCTGCTACTCGTCCGTAGCTAGCATCAACATGTCAGATTAGGATTCAGATTCATTTATTTGCCATTTACATGTATACGTTTCTTTGCAGGTGGCTGGAATCCCTCCACACTGACGGCATAAAATGGCCTTCGATCTTTGGAGCAGTCCACACGTTTATCGGTGATTGCCTGTTTTAGACGCTGCGGTACCTTTGGCACGGTACTGAAAGATGTCATAGTGGTCTGCTGGCTTGTTGTTGCCTCAGGCCCAAAGCATGATGCTGCCACCACCATGTTTGACAGTGGGGATGGTGTGTTCAGGGTGATGAGCTGTGTTGCTTTTACGCCAAACATATCGTTTTGCATTGTGGCCAAAAAGTTTGATTTTGGTTTCATCTGACCAGAGCACCTTCTTCCACATGTTTGGTGTGTCTCCCAGGTGGCTTGTGGCAAACTTTAAACAAGACTTTTTATGGATATCTTTGAGAAATTGCTTTCTTCTTGCCACTCTTCCATAAAGGCCAGATTTGTGCAGTGCACGACTGATTGTTGTCCTATGGACAGACTCTCCCACCTCAGCTGTAGTTATCTGCAGTTCATCCAGAGTGATCAAAGATCCTCACTGAACTTCTGGACTGAGTTTGCTGCACTGAACGTAAAGGGGCCGAATAATATTGCACGCCCCACTTTTCAGTTTATTATTTGTTAAAAAAGTTTAAATTATCCAATAAATTTCATTCCACTTCACGATTGTGTCCCACTTGTTGTTGATTCATGACAAAAAATTACATTTTTATATCTTTATGTTTGAAGCCTGAAATGTGGTAAAATGTTGAAAGGTTCAAGGGGGCCGAATACTTTTGCAATACTTTTACTGTATATACAGTCTGTGTTAGCATTGTCCACGTATATACAGTCTCTGGTCCAACTGACATAAGAAGGACTGAACTGAAAAAAACCATGTGGATCCAGGTCCTGTTCTTCGGGTTATGGTGAGTCGCTGTGTCTCGGCTTGTTTCGCCGCGCTGCATTCTCGCTGTGGTTTGGAGCCAAAGGAATTAGATTTAGGAGCCATTAAACAAACAGGAATAAAGGAAACACAACACTGGCAGCAGCAGAGATTTTCCGACTCGGGAACTATTAACAGAGCAATGGCACACGGTCAGACAGCTGCGCAAGCTAACGAGGCACAGCTAATGGAGCCAGGCTAAAGCTGGGGTACCTCAGCAATAACACACGTTTGTCCTAACCAGAAAGAGACCAGAGAGAGACCAGAGAGAGACCAGAGAGAGACCAGAGAGAGAGACCAGAGAGAGACCAGAGAGAGACCAGAGAGAGAGACCAGAGAGAGACCAGAGAGAGACCAGAGAGAGAGACCAGAGAGAGACCAGAGAGAGAGACCAGAGAGAGACCAGAGAGAGACCAGAGAGAGACCAGAGAGAGACCAGAGAGAGACCAGAGAGAGAGACCAGAGAGAGACCAGAGAGAGACCAGAGAGAGAGACCAGAGAGAGACCAGAGAGAGACCAGAGAGAGACCAGAGAGAGAGACCAGAGAGAGAGAGACCAGAGAGAGACCAGAGAGAGACCAGAGAGAGACCAGAGAGAGACCAGAGAGAGAGACCAGAGAGAGACCAGAGAAAGACCAGAGAGAGACCAGAGAGAGAGAGACCAGAGAGAGACCAGAGAGAGACCAGAGAGAGACCAGAGAGAGACCAGAGAGAGAGAGACCAGAGAGAGACCAGAGAGAGACCAGAGAGAGACCAGAGAGAGACCAGAGAGAGAGACCAGAGAGAGAGAGAGACCAGAGAGAGACCAGAGAGAGACCAGAGAGAGACCAGAGAGAGACCAGAGAGAGACCAGAGAGAGACCAGAGAGAGACCAGAGAGAGAGACCAGAGAGAGGACCAGAGAGAGACCAGAGAGAGACCAGAGAGAGAGAGACCAGAGAGAGACCAGAGAGAGACCAGAGAGAGACCAGAGAGAGAGACCAGAGAGAGACCAGAGAGAGAGACCAGAGAGAGACCAGAGAGAGACCAGAGAGAGACCAGAGAGAGAGACCAGAGAGAGACCAGAGAGAGAGAGAGAGAGAGAGAGAGACCAGAGAGAGACCAGAGAGAGACCAGAGAGAGAGACCAGAGAGAGAGAGAGACCAGAGAGAGAGAGAGAGAGAGAGAGAGAGACCAGAGAGAGACCAGAGAGAGACCAGAGAGAGAGACCAGAGAGAGAGAGACCAGACCAGAGAGAGAGACCTGCTCCCAGAGACAGACCTGCTCCACAGACAGACCAGAGAGACCTGCTCCACTCTCCACAGACAGACCAGAGAGAGAGACCTGCTCCCACAGACAGACCTGCTCCACAGACAGACCAGAGAGAGAGACCTGCTCCACAGACAGACCAGAGAGAGAGACCTGCTCCCACAGACAGACCAGAGAGACCTGCTCCCACAGACAGACCAGAGAGAGAGACCTGCTCCCACAGACAGACCTGCCTGCTCCACAGACAGACCAGAGAGACCTGCTCCACAGACAGACCAGAGAGAGACCTGCTCCCACAGACAGACCAGAGAGAGAGACCTGCTCCCACAGACAGACAGAGAGACCTGCTCCCACAGACCTGCTCCCGACCAGAGAGACCTGCTCCCACAGACAGACCAGAGAGACCTGCTCCACAGACAGACAGAGAGACCTGCTCCCACAGACAGACCTGCTCCACAGACAGACCTGCTCCACAGACAGACCAGAGAGACCTGCTCCACAGACAACCAGAGAGACCTGCTCCACAGACAGACCAGAGAGACCTGCTCCACAGACAGACCAGAGAGACCTGCTCCACAGACAGACCAGAGAGACCTGCTCCACAGACAGACCAGAGAGACCTGCTCCACAGACAGACCTCTTCACTCCTCACTCATGGTTCAGACGTGTTTGAGGCGTGTCCATCGCAGAGAGCGGCGTCAGGGCCTCGTGCTCGCTGCTCTGTGATTGGCTTAATCTCAGCAAAGGATTGTGGGAGTTTGAATCTGCTGCTAATTGAAAGGAAACAGGAGCTGAACAGGATGAGACCGAGTCAAATCCTGCTCAGTGAAAGTGACAGAGACGGCGAGCGGCGGCTTTAGTCGAGAGGCAGTAATTGGGGACGAACGGTTTATGAAAACAACCAGAAGTGCAAAAAAACTGGTATAGCTGGTTTTTCACATGGTTTGGAAATGAAAGAGATTCATATTTACTTATACTGCAAAAATATGAGGAAATAACCAGAGAGAGACCAGAGAGAGACCAGAGAGAGAGACCAGAGAGATAGACCAGAGAGAGAGACCAGAGAGAGAGACTAGAGAGAGACCAGAGAGAGAGACCAGAGAGACACCAGAGAGACCAGAGAGAGAGACCAGAGAGAGAGACCAGAGAGAGAGACCAGAGAGAGACCAGAGAGAGACCAGAGAGAGACACCAGAGAGAGACCAGAGAGAGAGACCAGAGAGAGACCAGAGAGAGACCAGAGAGAGACACCAGAGAGAGACCAGAGAGAGAGACCAGAGAGAGACCAGAGAGAGAGACCAGAGAGAGACCAGAGAGAGAGACCAGAGAGAGACCAGAGAGAGACCAGAGAGAGAGACCAGAGAGACACCAGAGAGACCAGAGAGAGAGACCAGAGAGACCAGAGAGAGACCAGAGAGAGAGACCAGAGAGAGACCAGAGAGAGAGACCAGAGAGAGACCAGAGAGAGAGACCAGAGAGAGACCAGAGAGAGACCATAGAGAGAGACCAGAGAGAGACCAGAGAGAGACCAGAGAGACACCAGAGAGAGAGACCAGAGAGAGACCAGAGAGAGACCAGAGAGAGACCAGAGAAAGACCAGAGAGAGAGACCAGAGAGAGAGACCAGAGAGAGAGACCAGAGAGAGAGACCAGAGAGAGACCAGAGAGAGACCAGAGAGAGACCAGAGAGAGACCAGAGAGAGACCAGAGAGACACCAGAGAGAGACCAGAGAGAGACCAGAGAGAGACCAGAGAGAGACCTGAGAGAGACCAGAGAGAGACCAGAGAGAGACCAGAGAGAGACACCAGAGAGAGACCAGAGAGAGAGACCAGAGAGAGAGACCAGAGAGAGACCAGAGAGAGAGACCAGAGAGAGACCAGAGAGAGACCATAGAGAGAGACCAGAGAGAGACCAGAGAGAGACCAGAGAGACACCAGAGAGAGAGACCAGAGAGAGACCAGAGAGAGACCAGAGAGAGACCAGAGAAAGACCAGAGAGAGAGACCAGAGAGAGAGACCAGAGAGAGAGACCAGAGAGAGACCAGAGAGAGACCAGAGAGAGACCAGAGAGAGACCAGAGAGAGACCAGAGAGAGACCAGAGAGAGACCTGAGAGAGACCAGAGAGAGACCAGAGAGAGACCAGAGAGACACCAGAGAGAGACCAGAGAGAGACCAGAGAAAGACCAGAGAGAGAGACCAGAGAGAGAGACCAGAGAGAGAGACCAGAGAGAGACCAGAGAGAGACCAGAGAGAGACCAGAGAGAGACCAGAGAGACACCAGAGAGAGACCAGAGAGAGACCAGAGAGAGACCAGAGAGAGACCAGAGAGACACCAGAGAGAGACCAGAGAGAGACCAGAGAGAGAGACCAGAGAGAGACCAGAGAGAGACCAGAGAGAGACCAGAGAGAGAGACCAGAGAGAGACCAGAGAGAGACCAGAGAGACCAGAGAGAGCACTTTTTCTGGTCTCTCTCTCTCCCTCGCTCTCTCTCTCTCTCCCTCTCCCCCTGTCCCTCTGGTCTCTCTCTCTCTCCCAGAAGCCAAGCAGGGCAGGGCCTGGTCAGTACTGTGATGGGAGACCTCATTTTAAAGACCTGCACCAATGGTCTGTGAAAGGCGGTAAATAAATAAAGATTACTTACTTAAAAATGAGGTTTTTATTATTATCAACAAACTCTCGTTCACTATTAATATTGTGTCTCTGTGTCTGTGTGTGTGTGTGTGTGTGTGTCTATGTGTGTGTGTGTGTGTGTGTCTGTGTGTGTGTGTGTCTCTGTGTGTGTGTGTGTCTATGTGTGTGTGTCTCTGTGTGTGTGTCTCTGTGTGTCTCTGTGTGTTGTTTGTGTCTCTGTGTGTTTGTCTCTGTGTGTTGTTTGTGTCTCTGTGTGTGGTGTGTGTGTGTGTCTCTGTGTGTTGTTTGTGTCTCTTTGTGTGGTGTGTGTGTGTCTCTGTATGTTGTTTGTGTCTCTGTGTGTGGTGTGTGTGTGTCTCTGTGTGTTGTTTGTGTCTCTGTGTGTGGTGTGTGTGTGTCTCTGTGTGTTGTTTGTGTCTTTGTGTGTGATGTGTGTTTGTCTCTGTGTATGTCTCTGTGTGAGTCTCTCTGTTTGTGTCTTTCTGTGTCTCTGTGTGTGTCTCTGTGTGTGTGCCTCTGTGTGTGTGCCTCTGTGTGTGTCTCTCTCTGTGGTTGCCTGTCTCTGTGTGGTGTGCCTGTCTCTGTGTTGTGTCTCTGTGGTTGTGTGTCTCTGTGTTGTGTGTCTGTGGTTGTGTGTCTCTCTGTGTCTCTGTGTGTGTCTCTGTGTTGTGTGTCTGTGGTTGTGTGTCTCTGTGGTTGTGTGTCTCTGCATTGTGTGTCTGTGGTTGTGTGTCTCTCTGTGTTGTGCCTGTCTCTGTGTTGTGTCTCTGTGTTGTGTGTCTGTGGTTGTGTGTCTCTCTGTGTCTCTCTGTGTGTCTCTGTGTTGTGTGTCTGTGGTTGTGAGTCTCTGTGGTTGTGTGTCTCTGCATTGTGTGTCTGTGGTTGTGTGTCTCTATGTGTTGTGCCTGTCTCTGTGTTGTGTGTCTGTGGTTGTGAGTCTCTGCATTGTGTGTCTGTGGTTGTGTGTCTCTCTGTGTTGTGCCTGTCTCTGTGTTGTGTCTCTGTGGTTGTGTGTCTCTGTGTTGTGTGTCTGGGGTTGTGTGTCTCTCTGTGTTGTGTCTCTGTGGTTGTGTGTCTCTGTGGTTGTGTGTCTCTGTATTGTGTGTCTGTGGTTGTGTGTCTTTGTGTTGTGCCTGTCTCTGTGTGTGTCTCTCTCTGTGGTTGTGTGTCTCTGTGTGTTGTGCCTGTCTCTGTGGTTGTGTGTCTCTCTCTGTGGTTGTGTGTCTCTGTGGTTGTGTGTCTGTGGTTGTGTGTCTCTGTGGTTGTGTGTCTGTGGTTGTCTCTCTCTCTCTGTGGTTGTGTGTCTCTGGTTGTGTGTCTGTGGTTGTGTGTGGTTGTCTCTCTCTCTGTGGTTGTGTGTGGTTGTGTGTCTGTGGTTGTGTGTGGTTGTCTCTCTCTCTGTGGTTGTGTGTCTGTGGTTGTGTGTCTCTGTGTTGTGTGTCTGTGGTTGTGTGTCTCTGTGGTTGTGTGTCTGTGGTTGTGTGTCTGTGGTTGTGTGTCTCTCTCTGTGGTTGTGTGTCTCTCTCTGTGGTTGTGTGTCTCTGTGGTTGTGTGTCTGTGGTTGTGTGTCTCTGTGGTTGTGTGTCTGTGGTTGTGTGTCTCTGTGTTGTGTGTCTGTGGTTGTGTGTCTGTGGTTGTGTGTCTCTGTGGTTGTGTGTCTGTGGTTGTGTGTCTCTGTGTTGTGTGTCTGTGGTTGTGTGTCTGCAGGAGCATGAGCATCAGACCTACTCCACTCTAAAGTCCAGGAACACCTCTGCTCTGGTGGCGGGACTCAAACCCGGCACTAAGTACATCTTCCAGGTCCGAGCTCGCACCTCGGCCGGCTGCGGTCGCTTCAGTCACAACGTGGAGATCCAGACCGGGAAAGCAGGTGACAACACACTCTGGACACCAAGAAGACAACACACGTTCACAACAAACACATTCATATATATCATCTTTAAATCTAACACAGTTTACAATCACACAAGATCTGCTGGTTTTATTTTTTCATTTTTCTGCTGAACTTGCAAGAAGTTTGGAAGAGAAGAAGAAACTGCGAAAATAAACGAAAAATAAGTTAATCTGAGCACTTTCTGACTGTGGTAAAACCAGTGTGGGCGGGTCTAATATGACGTGCACTGACAGGCTGCAATACCACCCCAGGCCTGTGGGGGTGGACCCAGATTAAGAAATGTTCATGTGTAGCATCTTCTTACCTCTCGAAAACGGCTTTACAGGATGGTCCAAAAGTGGGTCTTGGTCCAAAAGTAGTTCTTGGTCCAAAAGTAGTTCTTGGTCCAAAAGTAGTTCTTGGTCCAAAAGTGGCTCTTGGTCCAAAAGTGGTTCTTGGTCCAAAAGTGGGTCTTGGTCCAAAAGTGGTTCTTGGTCCAAAAGTGGGTCTTGGTCCAAAAGTGGCTCTTGGTCCAAAAGTGGTTCTTGGTCCAAAAGTGGGTCTTGGTCCAAAAGTGGGTCTTGGTCCAAAAGTGGGTCTTGGTCCAAAAGTGGTCCTTGGTCCAAAAGTGGGCATTTTGAAACTGCCCATAGATGGTGAAAGTGATGTCACATTAATTTGAACGGCGGAGATAGAAGTAACTACGTCTTTAAAGCTGCACTACCTGACTTCGAGAAACTTTCGAATCAGAACGCCGAGCTCGCGCTCTCTGCTCGCCCTCCCACACGGAGCTTTCGCCCTCTACTACCCCCTCCCCCAGCCTCTGCTCATGCCAATATGGACACATTTGAGCGTGGCGTGACCATAGAATGATAGAACCGGGAAGCGCGGATGAACCAGACTTTCTTTTGTCTGTTTCTTTGAGTAAGCAGTAACCGGTAAGTTGTCTGTGCTAACCACAGACCTGTGGCTTTTCTCAAGAAAGTGGGGGCCAGTGGTCCGCTGTGATTGGTCACAATCTGGGCCCCAAACACATTCTCTTCCTTGTTTCATGAAAACTTGATCTGAAATAAAATGTCATGGCAGCACAAACCTGTGATACTTATTCTTCAAAAGGACGTTTATCCCAAAGCACTGCATGGACATGGATAGCATTTTCGTAATGAATATGAAAATAAAGTCAGTTAGTGCAGCTTTAATGTTTACAGACCATGATTCTTACACAAAGACACAATCACACAACATTTGTTCGTGTCATTTTACTGAAAGGAGACGGTGGCAGAGAAGAAGAAGAGGTTTTTATCACAAAGACGATAAACACACATCAACATGGAGTTTACATTAAAGTTTGTCGGCTCTGGGCAGTTTCACAATAACCTGCGTTCCCTGTGGACACACCGGTCACACACTCACAACACAACACAAGTGGGTTCACCAAACAGTGCTTTGGACTCAACGTAAAGGTCTCTGCTTTAAACATCACCACAGCTGTTTTCCCAGAGTCGGTCTTTCATCGATTCTCTCAAGCTTTAGTGAGAGAGCGATCTTTGCCTTTCGTCCTCTAGAGGCAGCAGAGAGCATCACCTCAAGTGTTGTGTGTTTTATGATGTATCGCCCACATTATTCTCTCACATGTGTTGAGGACTGTGACCCATGAAGAAGAGCACAGTCATAATGTGCTCATCCACACTGCAAAAAATGACAATATCTGACTGTACTTTCCCCACTGTGGAACTAAAAACGCCTTCATTCATTCAATCCAAAAATGACTAAATATTTGGTAGTTCTTGCTTGAATGAAGTGAGTTTTTATCTTATTTTGAGTTCATTATGACCGTGTTAGAACGAGATTCTCCAACGGGACAAAGCCATTTATTTCAAGAACCATTTCTGTATCTTTTTAAAACAAGATTATTTTGTTTTGTCCCATCGGAGAGTCTAGTTTAAAGGCTCAGTCAGAACGTGCTAAAACTAAGACACATTTTTCCAAATCTGAGCCTTTTTTTAACCTATTTTCCATCACAGTGTGATCTGAAATCCTCCAGTCCAAGCAGCTCAACCTCTGCGTTTGTGGCAGATGGACTTAAACGCTCTGAGACAAAGCAGCCGGCCCTGATCCCGACAGCTGGGTCTGGCTCCGCAGTCTCGGCCCCTGTGTCTGTGACGGCCCTCCGCCTCTGATCCATCGATCCGTGGTCGTTCTGCCGGTTGTTAGACGCTCGCCGCTGTCAGCAGAACGCGCCGCGGCTCTCCCACAACACACCTGAGGGAACAGCACTACACGCCGAGCAGAAAGAAAACTCTTATTGGTGTATTTTTCTTGCTTAATAGGGGCTTTGGCACATAAGTAGCTGGAGGTCTGCGGAGCTCGCCTCCTTCTCCCTGTGCACTTCTCTCTGACTAATATCTCGCCGCGGACCCCTCCCCCACGCTCGGCTCTCGTTCTAATTCATTATCCGAGAGCTTCTCCCTCCGCGGCCTCGCTCCGACGAATCAATAAGTCTTAAAGTTTGGAGCATCCTGGTTCTCTGCGGCGGCCCTCGGTGGTAGATCCGCAACTCCGGGGTGACGTGCAGGGGCGGGGCTAAACGGGCAGCCAGGTGTGAACAATACTTCATACTCTTTGTATAGCGCTGTGACGTTTAGCATAAATACACTGCCTTAAGTGGTCCAGAGAGAGACCACAGAGAGACCAGAGAGAAACCAGAGAGAGACCAGAGAGACCAGAGAAAGACCAGAGAGAGAACAGAGAGAGAGCAGAGAGAGCAGAGAAAGACCAGAGAGAGACCAGAGAGAAACCAGAGAGAGACCAGAGAGACCAGAGAAAGACCAGAGAGAGAACAGAGAGAGAGCAGAGAGAGCAGAGAAAGACCAGAGAGAGAGACCAGAGAGAGACCAGAGAGAGAGACCAGAGAGAGAGACCACAGAGAGACCAGAGAGAAACCAGAGAGAGACCAGAGAGACCAGAGAAAGACCAGAGAAAGACCAGAGAGAGAGCAGAGAGAGAGCAGAGAGAGCAGAGAAAGACCAGAGAGAGACCAGAGAGAGACCAGAGAGAGAGACCAGAGAGAGAGACCAGAGAGAGACCAGAGAGAGAGACCACAGAGAGACCAGAGAGAGACCAGAGAGAGAGACCAGAGAGAGAGACCAGAGAGAGAGACCTGAGAGAGACCAGAGAGAGACCAGAGAGAGACCAGAGAGAGAGACCAGAGCGAGACCAGAGAGCGACCAGAGAGAGAGACCAGAGCGAGACCAGAGAGAGACCAGAGAAAGACCAGAGAAAGACCAGAGAGAGACCAGAGAGAGAGACCAGAGAGAAAGACCAGAGAAAGACCAGAGCGAGACCAGAGAAAGTTTAGCATAAATAATAGCCTTAAGTGTTCCTCGCTCCTGGGACAGATGCAGCAGATGTTAACGGTGCGATGGTAAAGCCGGGGCCGGTGTGCGTCTGTGGACCGCGGCATTAGCCACTTTGAAGCTAAACACACCTGGTACACTGTGTTTTTCAATAACAATAATTATGCTGGAGGCTATTTTTAGAGGGCTTTTAATAATGCGCAGGTAATTGCTGCAGAACGGGGAGAACGCGGAACATTAAGTGCCGCTGTTGTCACGTCTTCAGCCTTAATCCAGCGACCCACTTTCAGAATGTGATTAGAGAGCAGTTTGGGAAGTTGGATTTCCGGGAAAACATTGGTTCAGTTTAATCAACAGAAAAGTCAGCGATCGGCGACAATTAGTTTTTAGTTCAGAAGAGTTGGTGACACCGCACGGCCATCACTGAAGGAAAACTGACTTAGACTTAGAGACTTAGGCCCTGTTTATACAGAGACGCTGCGCAGACGTTTCCAGGCTATTAACAGAAACGACCAGGCTCCTAATGCAAATTTCTCAGCGTTCACATGAGGTTGAAAAACGATGTAGTTCTAGTGCCCGGCCAGTAGGGGGCAGAGAAACTTTACAACACTCACACGACCCCCCAGCCCCGTGCCCAGCCCCCTCTCGGCAGTGTACTCACTTCCTGTGCCAGACCCTCAGAACGCACCAACATCATTCTGCTTTTTAACAGCAGCTGTGAAAATGGAAACTGAACCTAGAGCTTCGCGTGGTCTCGTTTGGACGAACGAAGGAGTAGAATTATCCTCTGTCCCGCGCTGGAAGCCCACGTAGCTAGTTAATGCGACCGCCGCCATTGTTGTTGATGTTTGTTCTCTGCTACTGCGCATGTCCAAATGTACGTGCAGGAGCAGCAGGAGGTGGGGGTCAGAGCAGCAGGAGGCGGGGGTCAGAGCAGCAGGAGGTGGGGGTCAGAGCAGCAGGAGGTGGGGGTCAGAGCAGAGGAGGTGGGGGTCAGAGCAGCAGGAGGCGGGGGTCAGAGCAGCAGGAGGTGGGGGTCAGAGCAGAGGAGGTGGGGGTCAGAGCAGAGGGGATTTCACACCTTTTCCCTCTCGCGGGTGTGAAAGAGCCCCCGCTGTGCAGCGTATCTGAGCTGTCCCACTCTGCAGGCTGGATCTGAACACTTACGTTTTCACCTGGAACACAGTCGCCGTATGAACGCTTGGTAGCAACCGACATCCAACTATACCGTTTTACTGCCACATTGTCTCCGTGTAAACTCAGCCTTAGAGAGCAGAGCTGACTTTAAAGGGGCCATATTCCACTTTTCTCCATGTTCCACAGTCTATTCTCTGATAAGATAAGAGTTCCTTTATTGGGGAAATGTCAATGTTGCAGCGCACAGACAGGACAGTAGTCAGAGACACAGAGAGCACACACTATACACAGATAAGTAGTAGCTGTGTTTCTTAACTATCTGTAAACGCTGTAAATGCTTCGATGCCAGTCTTTCAAAATAAAATATATACATGTGGTAGTGCAGAGTTATGTACTGTACAGATAGAGCAGGATAAGAAGTAGATAAAGTAAAGAGACTTTGTTCTGTGACTTTCTGAAGGAGCAGTTTTAACATTGCACATGATTTAAGAATTTACTTATTTACAGATGGATGACATTTACAGACTCAGCAGTTCTCATTGTACAGTCTGACAGCAGCAGGAAGGAAAGCCCCACGGACCCTCTCCTTCACACGTGTGATAATAATAATAATAATGTGGTTTGTTTGTCTGCTCTGTTTTGGGGTTGTACTTTAGTTTTGATGTTGTTGTCTTTGATTATTTAAAAAAACAAGACTCAAAGCTTTTGAGATTATTGTTATTTTTTGCAAAGAGGTGACGTCTTGTGCTGCTCTGTCTGTGAGCCCGCCTCCCCCCTCCCTCACCCGCCTCCTGCCTCCCTCACACGCCCCCCCTCCCTCACCCACCCCCTGCCTCCCTCACCCGCCTCCCCCCTCCCTCACACGCCTCCCTCACCCACCCCCTGCCTCCCTCACCCGCCTCCTGCCTCCCTCACATGCCCCCCCTCCCTCACACGCCCCCCATCCCTCACCCCTCTCCTGCCTCCCTCACCTACCTCCCCCCAACCGGGTGAGATTTTGTCATTAATATTTTTTCAAGCTTTTGTAAAAATATGTTTTACTTATTTAGTAATCAGAATATTTTAATATATTTGCTGAGATACAATCAATGCAAATGCACCAATATTATTTGTATTAAAATGGGGCAGAGGAACGACAGCTGCACTGTAAAAAGTCAGGAAAAATAGGTCAAAAATGTCTCATATTTGGTTAAATGTGTCTTAATCCGACACGTTCTGACTCAGCCTTAAACCAGATTCTTCAACGGGACAAAACAAAATGACCTTGTTTTAAGAAGATACAGAAATGTCTCCTTTGGAATGAGGAAATAAAACTATCTTCGTCCAATTGGAGAATCTGGTTTTAACACAGTCAGAATGTGCTCAGACTGTATCATTTTTTACAGTGTAGTCCTGGCAGTAGTTCAAGTTTGTGTTTAGGAATGACTGAATCTAAATGACTGAATATGAATGACTGAATCTGAATGACTGAATATGAATGAGTGAATATGAATGAGTGAATGATGAATGAGTGAATCTGAATGAGTGAATCTGAATGAGTGAATATGAATGACTGAATCTGAATGAGTGAATATGAATGACTGAATCTGAATGAGTGAATCTGAATGAGTGAATATGAATGAGTGAATATGAATGACTGAATATGAATGACTGAATATGAATGACTGAATCTGAATGACTGAATCTGAATGAGTGAATATGAATGACTGAATATGAATGAGTGAATCTGAATGACTGAATATGAATGACTGAATATGAATGAGTGAATATGAATGAGTGAATGATGAATGAGTGAATCTGAATGCGTGAATCTGAATGAGTGAATATGAATGACTGAATCTGAATGACTGAATCTGAATGACTGAATCTGAATGACTGAATCTGAATGAGTGAATATGAATGACTGAATCTGAATGACTGAATCTGAATGACTGAATCTGAATGAGTGAATATGAATGACTGAATCTGAATGACTGAATCTGAATGAGTGAATATGAATGACTGAATATGAATGACTGAATCTGAATGACTGAATCTGAATGAGTGAATATGAATGAGTGAATCTGAATGACTGAATCTGAATGACTGAATCTGAATGAGTGAATATGAATGAGTGAATCTGAATGAGTGAATATGAATGAGTGAATATGAATGAGTGAATATGAATGAGTGAATCTGAATGAGTGAATCTGAATGAGTGAATCTGAATGAGTGAATGATGAATGAGTGAATCTGAATGACTGAATATGAATGAGTGAATCTGAATGAGTGAATATGAATGAGTGAATCTGAATGAGTGAATATGAATGAGTGAATCTGAATGAGTGAATGATGAATCAAAAAGCACTGACAGATGTAGTTTATCCCAGACCAACTTTGTGACTTTTTCTGTTGTGTCCCCAGTCCCGGTGCGGTACAACTCCATGACCATAGCCTGGATCTGCTTGGTCCTGGTCTCGGCTCTGGGCGGCTTCATGGCCTTCATCGTCTGCAGGAAACGGCAAGGCTACACTTTACCACACTACCCATCGCTGCTGTGTGTGGGACCTTTATTCACTTTCACCTGTGTGTCTTTGTGTTAGCGCCATCACCCACAGAGAGACGGCCACTTGGTACATTCCCACGTTTGTGTCCTAAGACCAATCAATCAATCTGTCAATCAATCAATCTGTCAATTAATCAATCTGTCAATCAATCAATCTGTCAATCAATTAATCAATCTGTCAATCAATCAATCGATCCGACAATCTATCAAAATGTATTTATGAAGTGCAATACAAACAATCCCATGTGTCCATAACCCATCAAAGAGGCCAATATTACACACACAAACACAGTGTGCACACACACACACACACACACACACACACAGTGTGCACACAAACACACACACACACTCACAAACACACACACTCACACACACGCACACACTCTCTCTCTGGTCTCTTTTAGCATAATGTTTGGTATACTAGCATAATGTAGCATACACCCAAATTAAAGTTGGGTGGAAAAATGTATAATATTTACAACACGTATAAATATATACAGTATATATGTGTATGTACATGTATATGTATGTACGTGTATATAGTATGTACATGTATATAGTATGTACTTGTATATAGTATGTACGTGTATATAGTATGTACATGTATATAGTATGTACTTGTATATAGTATGTACAGGTATATAGTATGTACATGTATATGTATGTACATGTATATAGTATGTACATGTATATAGTATGTACATGTATATGTATGTACGTGTATATAGTATGTACATGTATATAATATGTACATGTATATAGTATGTACATGTATATATTATTATTATTTATTATTATTATTAATCTTTATTAAGGACACAATACAACACGGTCCATAGTTAAAAAACCAAAGAAAAAATATATACAAGAAAACAAAACAAAAAGAGAACATTACAGCTGCTGAACAGTATAAAGGTATATATAGTATGTACATGTATATGTATGTACATATATGTATGTAGTATGTATGTGTATGAACATGTATATAGTATGTACATGTATATAGTATGTACATGTATATAGTATGTACATGTATATAGTATGTACATGTATATGTGTGTACATGTATATAGTATGTACATGTATGTGTATGTACATGTATGTGTATGAACATGTATGTAGTATGTACATGTATATAGTATGTACATGTATATAGAAAGTACATGTATATGTATGTACATGTATGTACATGTATGTATGTACATGTATGTGTATGTGTATTGGTGGCTGCAGGTTTTCCGCTTCCGCTTGGAGCTATGCTGCTGGCACTCTGAGTACATTCCGACATTTTCATCTTAAATATCGTATGTGCGCATACTGATCGCTGTATTTGATACAAAAACGAATCAACCGATATTTCAACTCTAATCTGGGCTGCACATAAAAACAGCAGAGGATCGGATATAGAAAAAAGAGGCATAAGCCGGTCGCGGGTGTGCAAACGCCGCTGGGCCACTGACAGCCGACTGCTCAACTTGCAACAAACACTGTACAAAATGCCTCCGAAAAAAAATGTTTCAGCTGAAGAAGTTGACATAAAAAAAATTCTGGAGTTGCTTTCTGACGACTTGGCAACCGTGAAGAATCAACAACATGATATCCTTGCACTGGTTGAGGAAGTTAAAGCGTTACGCACTGCGAACGCAGAGAAAGACAGGAAAATTGCCGTTCTGGAGAGCCGCGTTGCTGACTTGGAGCAATACAGCCGGATGAACGATGTGATCATCACGGGGCTCCGGATAAAACCCAGGTCGTACGCCCGTGCAGTGACGGCAACTAACGAGGGGGACCCGAGTCATGACATGGAGGTGCGCTCCATCGAGGATCAAGTGGCTGGTTTTTTACAGTCCAAAGGGATCGATCTGGAGTTGGATGGGGTAGAGGCCTGTCACACATTTCCAAGTAAAAATAGCGGCGAGAAGAGAACTGTAATAATGCGGTTCACAAACAGAAAGCATAAGATTGCTCTTTTGAGACAGGGAAGGAAACTTAAAGGGACGGATGTATTCATCAACGAGCATCTCACGAAAACCAACGCAGACATCGCAAAAAAGGCACGCTTCCTCAGAAAAATGAAAAAAATCCAAAACACGTGGACAACGAATTGTAAAGTCTACATAAAGCTAAATGGACACCCAGAAGAAGCCAAAATCTTGGTGGTACGAAAGCTGGAGGATTTGGATAGCTTCGGGTGATCTCCAAGTTCTGTAAGGTAATGAACTCTAGCCTATATGACACTTCAAGAACAAAAAATGCCCTCATCTGAGAGCCTAATCAATATAACAAACGAAGATAATCATGCAAGCCTCAACCTGGAATTACAACCATTTGAACGCACAGTATACAACAGCTATGATATGGAAAATAACACTGATCCAGACAATAATTTTTTTAACAATATTGAGACATGTGAATGTTTGTATTATACAGAAAAGCAATATGAGACTCTGTCAACAAACGATGGGACACTTTCATTAATACATATCAATGCTCGGAGTCTATATGCCAACTTTACAGAAATTAAAAACTACTTGTGTCAATTTTCTCAACCATTCAGTGTTATTGCAATAAGTGAGACTTGGATAAAGCCTGACAGAGACTTAAATTTTGATTTGGATGGTTATGACTTTTTACATATCGACAGAGGAAACAAAAGTGGGGGTGGTGTTGCTCTTTATTTGAATAAAAATATGAATTATACTATCATGAGCAAAATGTCACTCACTGTTGACAATCTATTAGAATGTATTACAATAGAAATACATAATGCCAACAAAAAAAATGTTATTATTAGTTGTATTTACCGAACTCCAAACTCAGATATTGGGAAATTTGCAGAGTGGATGGAAGAAATGTTTACAAATACTCATAAAACTATGTTTTTATGTGGCGATTTCAATATTGATTTGCTCAATAAAAGTAAGAATGTTATTTGTGATTACATCAATACTATCCACAGCTTATTTCTTTACCCAGCTATTACTAAACCAACAAGAATCACATCCCATTGCGCAACACTTATTGATAATATTCTAACAAATGACATTTCCAATAAAATAAAGAGTGGCATCTTGCTCTGTGATATCACTGACCATCTTCCTGTATTTATTGTACATGATAACAACTACAAAATTAATGATAAAACAAAACATAAAAAATTTGTTAGAATTATAACAGATGAATTATTGAATGCCTTAAGAGATCATTTATTTGAAGAAAATTGGGAAAGTATTATCAACGAGGATAATGTGAATAGGGCTTACGAGAAATTTATTTTCATTTTTAAAAACTTGTACAATAAACATTGTCCTATAAAGAATATTAGAATAAACTCTAAATACAAAGACTGTCCATGGATCACCACAGGATTAAAAAATGCTTGTAAAAAGAAGAACACACTTTATAAAGAATTCATTAAAAAGAAAACAACAGACGCCGAAATAAAATATAAAAAATATAGGAACAAACTTACCAACATATTAAGAAAGTGCAACAAAGAATATTATATTAAACTGTTGGAAAAGAATAAAGATAACGTGAAAGAAATTTGGAAAATTCTTAATGACTTAATCAATAATAAAAATAAGCAGAGATCTAACCCAAATTATTTCCTTGTTGATAATAAGGAATTGTATAATATGAATGATGTTGCTGATAAATTTAATGACTACTTTGTTAAAGTGGGTTCAGACTTATCAAGCAAAATAACTGATGTTGTAGTTCCTGATGGTTGGAGAGAACATCGTATTGACCGCAATCTCAAATCTATGTTCATTTCATATGTCAAAGAAAGAGACATTACACAAACAGTACGCAGCTGCACTAATAAGAAATCTAAAGATTTTGAGGATATTGATATGAGAGTGATCAAAAAGGTAATTGAAGCAATTGCAAAACCATTGACATACATTTGCAATCTATCTTTCAGAACTGGGACATTCCCTGATAAAATGAAGATAGCCAAAGTTATTCCTCTTTACAAATCCGGCAATAAACATACTTTCAACAATTATAGACCTGTCTCACTATTACCTCAATTCTCCAAAATCCTAGAAAAACTTTTTAATGCTCAATTGGAAACTTTTATCAATAAACACAATCTACTCTCAGAATCCCAATATGGATTCCGTGCAAATCACTCAACTTCTTTAGCACTTATTGACACAGTTGAACAAATCACAACAGCAATGGATAAAAAATTACATGCAATTGGAATATTTGTGGATCTTAGTAAAGCGTTTGACACTATAGATCATTCGATTCTACTCCAGAAATTGGAGCGATATGGGATAAGGGGTATTGCACTACAGTGGGTGAAAAGCTATCTCAGTGACCGAAAACAGTTTACATGTATGGGAGAGTACTCATCTCAATGTGAGCCCATGACCTGTGGTGTCCCGCAAGGGTCTGTATTAGGTCCAAAACTATTTATTCTTTATGTCAATGATTTATGTCAAGTGTCTTCTATGTTGAAACCGATTTTGTTTGCTGATGATACAAATTTGTTTTGCTCTAACCCAGACCTGCAAGAATTAATCAAAGATGTAACTAGAGAATTAAATACATTTAAATTATGGTTAAATATAAACAAATTGTCTCTTAATATAGACAAAACGAAAATAATGTATTTTGGTAATGGTATGAATAATATTAAAGTGGATATTTTACTGGATGGTGTTCAAATTAAACAAGTGAATGAAATTAGATTTTTAGGAGTAACATTGGATAGTCATATTAATTGGAAACCACATATAAAACAAGTACAGAATAAAGTTTCAAAAAGTATTGCAGTGCTTTATAGAGCAAGACAAAATTTGGATCAAAAAACACTTCTAATGCTTTACTATTCTTTAGTTTTACCTTATCTGTCATATTGTGCTGAAGTATGGGGAAATAATTACACAACCAACTTGCAACCCTTAGTAATTCTTCAAAAGAAAGTTATACGCTATATACATAAAGTGGGTTACCGTGATCATACCACGCCATTGTTTCTTAAATCTAAATGCCTAAAATTGCTGGACTTAGTAGAGTATCAGACTTTACAATTGGTATTCAAAGCAAACAAAAAATGTTTACCTGGAAATATTCAGAAACTGTTTATTAAAAGGGAAGAGTCTTATAATCTGAGACACAAAAGTAATTTTAGATTCATAAATGTGAGGACGACCAGAAAAAGATTCTGTGCATCAGTAAGTGGAATAAGATTATGGAATAGATTGTCTGTGGAATTAAAAAATAGTGATAACATAAAGGTATTTAAAAATAGCTTAAAAAATACATTCTTCAAGTGTTATGAGAAACAAAAACCTTAGGAAGGAATTGAAACTATATGTTTCTATAATGTGTGTGTAGGTAGCGTATATGTGTATATAAAAGTGTATGTGTATGTATAAAAGTGTATGTGTATGTCTGTATGCATATGTATTTGTGTATATGTACGTGTGTGTGCTGTATGTGTATGTCGGAATATACATATATGTGTGTAAGTGTATGTATATATATTACTTGTATATTCTGTAAAAGCAAAAGGAATCACATAACTAAAGTAAAACACTTTATTGGATAAGGGGTGGGACTAAATAAGTTTTTTACTCTTTCTCTCTCTGGTCTCTCTCAAACAATTCCTCTCGGAATCTCTCTGGTCTCTTCTGGTCTTTCTGTCTCTCTCTGGTGTCTCTGGTCTCATCTCTGGTCTCTCTCTGGTCTCTCTCTGGTCTCTCTCTGGTCTCTCTCTCTGGTCTCTCTCTCTGGTCTCTCTCTCTGGTCTCTCTCTGGTCTCTCTCTGGTCTCTCTCTGGTGTCTCTCTGGTCTCTCTCTGGTCTCTCTCTGGTCTCTCTCAGGTCTCTCTCTGGTCTCTCTCTGGTCTCTCTCTGGTCTCTCTCTGGTCTCTCTCTGGTCTCTCTCTGGTCTCTCTCTGGTCTCTCTCTCTGGTCTCTCTCTCTGGTCTCTCTCTCTGGTCTTTCTCTGGTCTCTCTCTGGTCTCTCTCTGGTCTCTCTCTGGTCTCTCTCTCTGGTGTCTCTCTGGTCTCTCTCTGGTCTCTCTCTGGTCTCTCTCTATGGTCTCTCTCTGGTCTCTCTCTGGTCTCTCTCTCTGGTCTCTCTCTGGTCTCTCTCTCTGGTCTCTCTCTCTGGTCTCTCTCTGGTGTCTCTCTCTGGTCTCTCTCTGGTCTCTCTCTGGTCTCTCTCAGGTCTCTCTCTGGTCTCTCTCTGGTCTCTCTCTGGTCTCTCTCTGGTGTCTCTCTGGTCTCTCTCTGGTCTCTCTCTGGTCTCTCTCTGGTCTCTCTCTGGTCTCTCTCTGGTCTCTCTCTCTGGTCTCTCTCTCTGGTCTCTCTCTCTGGTCTCTCTCTCTGGTCTTTCTCTGGTCTCTCTCTGGTCTCTCTCTGGTCTCTCTCTGGTCTCTCTCTCTGGTGTCTCTCTGGTCTCTCTCTGGTCTCTCTCTGGTCTCTCTCTATGGTCTCTCTCTGGTCTCTCTCTGGTCTCTCTCTCTGGTCTCTCTCTGGTCTCTCTCTCTGGTCTCTCTCTGGTCTCTCTCTCTGGTCTCTCTCTGGTCTCTCTGGTCTCTCTCTCTGGTCTCTCTGGTGTCTCTCTGGTCTCTCTCTCTGGTCTCTCTCTGGTCTCTCTCTGGTCTCTCTCTCTGGTCTCTCTCTGGTCTCTCTCTCTGGTCTCTCTCTGGTCTCTCTCTCTGGTCTCTCTCTGGTGTCTCTCTCTGGTCTCTCTCTGGTCTCTCTCTGGTCTCTCTCTCTGGTCTCTCTCTGGTGTCTCTCTCTGGTCTCTCTCTGGTCTCTCTCTGGTCTCTCTCTCTGGTCTCTCTCTCTGGTCTCTCTCTCTGGTCTCTCTGGTGTCTCTCTGGTCTCTCTCTCTGGTCTCTCTCTAGTCTCTCTCTCTGGTCTCTCTCTCTGGTCTATCTCTCTGGTCTCTCTCTCTGGTCTCTCTCTGGTCTCTCTCTGGTTATTTCCTCATATTTTTGCAGTATAAGTAAATATGAATCTCTTTCATTTCCAAACCATGTGAAAAAACCAGCTATACCAGTTTTTTTGCACTTCTGGTTGTTTTCATAAACCGTTCGTCCCCAATTACTGCCTCTCGACTAAAGCCGCCGCTCGCCGTCTCTGTCACTTTCACTGAGCAGGATTTGACTCGGTCTCATCCTGTTCAGCTCCTGTTTCCTTTCAATTAGCAGCAGATTCAAACTCCCACAATCCTTTGCTGAGATTAAGCCAATCACAGAGCAGCGAGCACGAGGCCCTGACGCCGCTCTCTGCGATGGACACGCCTCAAACACGTCTGAACCATGAGTGAGGAGTGAAGAGGTCTGTCTGTGGAGCAGGTCTCTCTGGTCTGTCTGTGGAGCAGGTCTCTCTGGTCTGTCTGTGGAGCAGGTCTCTCTGGTCTGTCTGTGGAGCAGGTCTCTCTGGTCTGTCTGTGGAGCAGGTCTCTCTGGTCTGTCTGTGGAGCAGGTCTCTCTGGTCTGTCTGTGGAGCAGGTCTCTCTGGTCTGTGGGAGCAGGTCTCTCTGGTTTGTCTGTGGAGCAGGTCTCTCTGGTCTGTCTGTGGGAGCAGGTCTCTCTCTCTGGTCTGTGGGAGCAGGTCTCTCTGGTCTGTCTGTGGAGCAGGTCTCTCTGGTCTGTCTGTGGGAGCAGGTCTCTCTTGTCTGTCTGTGGGAGCAGGTCTCTCTCTCTGGTCTGTCTGTGGAGCAGGTCTGTCTGTGGGAGCAGGTCTCTCTCTCTGGTCTGTCTGTGGAGCAGGTCTCTCTGGTCTGTCTGTGGAGCAGGTCTCTCTGGTCTGTCTGTGGGAGCAGGTCTCTCTTGTCTGTCTGTGGGAGCAGGTCTCTCTCTCTGGTCTGTCTGTGGAGCAGGTCTGTCTGTGGGAGCAGGTCTCTCTCTCTGGTCTGTCTGTGGAGCAGGTCTCTCTGGTCTGTCTGTGGAGCAGGTCTCTCTCTCTGGTCTGTCTGTGGAGCAGGTCTGTCTGTGGGAGCAGGTCTCTCTCTCTGGTCTGTCTGTGGAGCAGGTCTCTCTCTCCGTGTGAGAGTCCCTGAGGTTTCTCACTTTCTCTCACTGGGTTTTTACTCTTTAATATATTTATTATTATTTAGTTTTATATTTCAGTTAATCTTATTCTTGTATCGCCCTAAATCACAAAGGACTGTACAAAAGTCTGTAGAGAAAGCTCTAGGTCTGTAGAGTCTGTAGAGAAAGCTCTGGGTCTGTAGAGTCCGTAGAGAAAGCTCTGAGTCTGTAGAGTCTGTAGAGAAAGCTCTGGGTCTGTAGAGTCCGTAGAGAAAGCTCTGAGTCTGTAGAGTCTGTAGAGAAAGCTCTGGGTCTGTAGAGTCTGTAGAGAAAGCTCTGGGTCTGTAGAGTCTGTAGAGAAAGTTCTAGGTCTGTAGAGTCTGTAGAGAAAGCTCTGGGTCTGTAGAGTTCGTAGAGAAAGCTCTGAGTCTGTAGAGTCTGTAGAGAAAGCTCTGGGTCTGTAGAGTCTGTAGAGAAAGCTCTAGGTCTGTAGAGTCTGTAGAGAAAGCTCTGGGTCTGTAGAGTCTGTAGAGAAAGTTCTAGGTCTGTAGAGTCTGTAGAGAAAGCTCTGGGTCTGTAGAGTCTGTAGAGAAAGCTCTAGGTCTGTAGAGTCTGTAGAGAAAGCTCTAGGTCTGTAGAGTCTGTAGAGAAAGCTCTAGGTCTGTAGAGTCTGTAGAGAAAGATCCAAACCTTCTCGTAGTACTTGATGTCGTATTCGAGGATGACGCCGTTGGGTTGATCAGGCTCGTGCCACATCAGAGTCACACTGTTCTGACTCGTGTTCTCCTGACGCACCGACACCACCTCTGACGGAGCTGCACAGAGACACCATCAACACCATCAACATTCAACACCATCAACACCATCAACATTCAACACCATCAACACCATCAACACCATCAACCCCTCCATACTGCAGACAGGGAAAGGAGTCAGAAATGATTTTTAAACTGAGCACTTTCTGCCTTAAAACAAGATTCTCCGACGGGACAAAGTAAAAAGATACAGAAAGGAGAAGGAGGCAGGAGAGAGGAGAGAGGAGAGAGGAGGAGACAGGAGACAGGAGGAGATAGGAGAGAGGAGGAGACAGGAGGAGACACGAGACAGGAGGAGACAGGAGACAGGAGTGCCGTGGGCGGCACGGTGGCTGAGTGGATAGCACTCTCGCCTCTCAGCAAGAAGGTACTCCGGTTTCCCCTACCACTAAAAATATGTACAATAGTTCTGGCATGCGCCTTGTGTACTGGCCCCTCCCATCTCTGTGTGGAGTGAGAGACAAATGCCCAAAAATAACAATTGTAAACCGCTTTGAGACTCAGATCTGCAGTGAAAAGGCGGTATATAAATAAAGATTACTTACTTACTTACTTACAGGAGGCAGGAGAGAGGAGAAAGGACGAGACAGGAGGCGACACGAGACAGGAGGAGACAGGAGACAGGAGGCAGGAGAGAGGAGAGAGGAGGAGACAGGAGGCAGGAGAGAGGAGGAGACAGGAGAGAGGAGAGAGGAGGAAACAGGAGGAGAAAGAAAAGAGGAGACAGGAGGAGACAGGGGACAGGAGGAGGTGCAGACCCTACCTGCCTGGTTCGTGGTGATGTTGACCACGGCGTACGGCTGGCGCTCGCCGGTCAGCTGACTCACGGCGTTCGAGGCCACAATCCTGAACGAGTAGTTGCTGTGGGGCGCCAGGTTGAGGACCGTAACCCAGCGCTCGGTCAGCTCCTTCTGCCGCGGGATGAACCTCACCACCGCCGTCCCGGACCGCTCCACCTTCGCCCCGGCCACGCCCAGACCTGCGCCTCCGGAGGGCTTCCCCCCGCCCCCTGCTGCCGCCGCACCCGCCCCCGGAGAGGAGCTGCAGTCCTCACAGGGAGCCTCCCCAGAGCACCGCAGGCACTGGACGCTGTAGAGGAGGTCAGAGCGCCCCCCAGTGTCCATCGGCCGCTCCCACTCCAGGTTCACAGAGGTGCCATTCACCGAGGAGATGGGGTTCACGGGGGCGGAGGGAGGCCCTAGAGGAGGTGCGAGAGGGGAGGAGGAGGTGAGAGAGGGAAGGAGGTGAGAGAGGGGAGGAGGAGGTGAGAGGGAAGGAGGAGGTGAGAGAGGGAAGGAGGAGGTGAGAGAGGGAAGGAGGAGGGAAGGAGGAGGTGAGAGAGGGAAGGAGGAGGTGAGAGAGGGAAGGAGATGAGAGAGGGGAGGAGGAGATGAGAGAGGGAAGGAGGTGCGAGAGGGGAGGAGGAGATGAGAGAGGGAAGGAGGTGAGAGAGGGGAGGAGGAGGTGAGAGAGGGAAGGAGATGAGAGAGGGGAGGAGGAGGTGAGAGAGGGAAGGAAGAGTTTACACATGGTAAGACCCAGACGTACATGTAGGGTAGTGTAGTTTGGGTGTAGTTTAGGAGTAGTTTAGGTGTAGTTTAGGAGTAGTTTAGGAGTAGTTTAGGTGTAGTTTAGGTGTAGTTTAGGAGTAGTTTAGGTGTAGTTTAGGAATAGTTTAGGAGTAGTTTAGGTGTAGTGTAGGTGTAGCTTGGGTGTAGTTTAGGTGTAGTTTTGGTATAGTTTAGGTTTAGTTTGGGTGTAGTTTGGGTATAGTTCAGATGTAGTTTGGGTGTAGTTTAGGTGTAGTTTGGATGTAGTTTAGGTGCAGTTTAAGTGTAGTTGGGGTGTAGTTTAGGTGTAGTTTGGGTGTATTTTAGGTGTAGTTTGGGTGTAGTTTAGGTGTTTTTGGGTGTCGTTTGGGTGTAGATTATGTGTAGTTTAGGTGTAGTTTGGGTGTAGTTTAGGTGTAGTTTGGGTGTAGTTTAGGTGTTGTTTGGGTGTATTTTGGGTGTAGTTTGGATGTATTTTGGGTGTAGTTTGGGTGTAGTTTAGGTGTAGTTTGCGTGTAGTTGAGGTGTACTTTGGATGTAGTTTAGGTGTAGTTTAAGTGTAGTCGGGGTGCAGTTTAAGTTTAGTTTGGGTGTAGTTGGGGTGTAGTTTGGGTGTAGTTGAGGTGTAGTTTGGGTGTAGTTTAGGTGAAGTTTGTGTGTGGTTTAGGTGTAGTTTAGGTGTAGTTTGGGTGTAGTTGAGGGGTACTTTGGATGTAGTTTAGGTGTAGTTTAAGTGTAGTTGGGGTGCAGTTTAAGTTTAGTTTGGGTGTAGTTGAGGTGTAGTTTGGGTGTAGTTGAGGTGTAGTTTGGGTGTAGTTTAGGTGAAGTTTGTGTGTGGTTTAGGTGTAGTTTGGGTGTAGTTGTGTGGGGGTCCTTACGTGAGCAGGGCGCCGCGGGGGAGTCGTCTGCAGCTCTGTAGTAGTTGGAGTCACAGGGACAGGACACAGCGGCTCTGGTCTCTGAGTGACTGTGCTGAGGACACTTCCCACACAGACCGTCTCCTGCAGCTGGTTTGTAGAAGCCCACCTCACACGCTGTGGACCAGAGACACCAGGGACATCAGAGACATCAGAGAGACCAGAGACCAGAGAGAAACCAGATACATTATAAAGACACTAGAAACTTTACAGAGACCATTAGAGACCATACACACTCAAACCAAGAAATGTCTTGGTCTGACTCTAAACCTGTCCTGTCCAAAGCTCTCAAAGCCATTACTAAAACACTGTTGGCCCTTTATTGTCCCCTTAGGGAAATTTGTCCTCTGCATTTGACCCATCCTGAGGCCACTAAGGCTTCCATCAGGAGCAGTGGTCGCCGTAGTAACAGTGGCGGAGCCAGAAGGGGGGGGGGGCAGGGTGGCCACTGCCACCTCTTAAAACACCCTTTCCACCCCAAGTGTAATAATGTGCATATCTTGAGAATCTTGCGCACTTTTTACACCAAAAACAAAAAATTCCCACGGTTTCCACCGTCTGTGAACGCACCCCGACTCTGTATGCTAGTGCTTTTCATGGGTTGTTGGACTCACATGTGCCCGAGTCGTGATGAAAACAAAGGGTGAGTTAGCGACACAGGGTCGTTTACATTTGACATAAAGTATAGACACAGGTACTGCAGCCCATTACTGTCTGCAGTACTTTTACTGTGTGTGTGTGTGAGTGTGTGTGTGCGTGTGTGTGTGTGCGTGTGTGTGTGTGTGTGTCTGTGTGTGTGTGCGCGTGTGCGGCTTCTTGTCAGGAGAGAAACAAATGGATTAGAGACCATCTTCCTGTTGGACTTTGTCTTTTGTTTAAGAGCTTTTCAGGCAAAGATCTCTGTTGTAATAACTGTCAGTGCTGCGTCTGTGACAGAAATGTCTCCGTTGGATTGAGAGAATACAGTTCTTGAATCTGGTCTGAACACAGTCAGAATGAACTCAAATTAAGATAAAACCTCTTGATTTAAGCCTTTATTACCTCATTCTTAATCGTTTCTGACGTCCTCTTCTGCTCGTGAACCTTTGGCCCGTGTGAGATCAGTCTCTTCATCCGCAGTCCTTCCATTATTAATCAGTGTTAGTTAAAAGTGGATCCAGATCAGAGGGTCTGGTCCTGGCCGCTCTCGGGGACTATCAACAGTTTACTGCCCGGGTTTTTAGACGGAGTCGGAAACAGCGAGTCCGTCTTTCATCTGTGGCCTCATTGGTCAGCGCCGGCGAGGAGAAAACTTGAATTCAGAGCTGGTTTTTGTGATGTGGATGTGGCAGCTGCACTGACCTCTGCTGAGGGCCTTTAGACTTTGATATTTTAATGAACGTGTGTAATTTATTCACTTTCCACGTGTTTAATGTGTTCATGGAGTGCCAGGTTGGTGAAAAGTAGCTGCATTTGACTACTATATATACAATAATTACGTCGACAAAACAAAAAGTGCAAAAGTATGAGGTAAAACTGCTCAAATCAACTGGTTTTATCTTACTTTGTGCTAAAACCAGATTTCAGGAAATATTGGTTTTATTTTCTCCTTCTCTATCTTTTTAAAGGCACAGTCGGAATAAGTAAGTAAGTAATATTTATTTATATAGCGCCTTTCACAGACCAGAGTCGCTCAGTCAGAGAGGGGCGGGGCCAGTACAGGAAGCACAGACCTATTGCACATGTTTTTAGTGGTAGGGGAAACCGGAGGACCTGGAGGAAACCTACTCAGACACGGAGACAACATGTAAACTCCACTCAGGAAGTCCCTGTTCCGACTGGGATTCAAACCCAGGACCTTCTTGCTGAGAGGCGAGAGTGCTAACCACTCAGCCACCGTGCCCCCCGTGTGCAAATAAAGAAACATTTTTCCAAATTTGAGACATTTTTGACTTATTTTTAATAACTTTTTGTGTTGGACTTTGATATTTTAACCCTTGTGCTCCCCCCGGGACACAGTGACCCCCACAGTGATGGAAAGGAAGAAAAATACCGTAATTAGGGCCTAAAATGGTCTAAATGTCCCAGGACTGGTCCAGGCAGGAGAGGTCATCAACATACATTTAGGATATTTAAAGATTAGGAGATCCTTTGGTCCCACAGCGAGGAAATGTCAGTGTTGCATCACAAGTTACAGAACAGTATGAATGAGGAGAGTAATTGTAAATATCACTTTCGAGGCTACGTAATCTTTAAAATCACCTTTTTAGTCTTAAAATCTTTCAAAAACAGTGTTTACAAAGCGCTGCACGATGTAAGATATCAAAAAGGAAAACAGGAGAATGAAGCAGACAGAGCAGGACGTGTAACGGGTAAAAGTTCATGAACGCACAGAGAGGCAGTGGAGGGACGCGAACACAGGGAGGCAGTGGAGGGACGCGAACACAGCGAGGCAGTGGAGGGACGCGAACACAGGGAGGCAGTGGAGGGACACGAACACAGAGAGGCAGTGGAGGGACGCAAACACAGGGAGGCAGTGGAGGGACGCGAACACACGAAGGCAGTGGAGGGACGCGAACACACGGAGGCAGTGGAGGGACGCGAACACAGAGAGGCAGTGGAGGGACGCAAACACAGGGAGGCAGTGGAGGGACGCGAACACAGAGAGGCAGTGGAGGGACGCAAACACAGGGAGGCAGTGGAGGGACGCGAACACACGAAGGCAGTGGAGGGACGCGAACACACGAAGGCAGTGGAGGGACGCGAACACACGGAGGCAGTGGAGGGACGCGAACACAGAGAGGCAGTGGAGGGACGCGAACACACGGAGGCAGTGGAGGGACGCGAACACAGAGAGGCAGTGGAGGGACGCGAACACACGGAGGCAGTGGAGGGACGCGAACACAGAGAGGCAGTGGAGGGACGCGAACACACGGAGGCAGTGGAGGGACGCGAACACAGAGAGGCAGTGGAGGGACGCGAACACACGGAGGCAGTGGAGGGACGCGAACACAGAGAGGCAGTGGAGGGACGCGAACACACGGAGGCAGTGGAGGGACGCGAACACAGAGAGGCAGTGGAGGGACGCGAACACAACGGAGGCAGTGGAGGGACGCGAACACAGAGAGGCAGTGGAGGGACGCGAACACAGGGAGGCAGTGGAGGGACGCGAACACAGGGAGGTAGTGGAGGGACGCAAACACACGAAGGCAGTGGAGGGACGCGAACACAGGGAGGCAGTGGAGGGACGCGAACACAGGGAGGCAGTGGAGGGACGCGAACACAGGGAGGCAGTGGAGGGACGCGAACACAGGGAGGCAGTGGAGGGACGCGAACACACGGAGGCAGTGGAGGGACGCGAACACAGGGAGGCAGTGGAGGGACGTGAACACAGGGAGGCAGTGGAGGGACGCGAACACAGGGAGGGAGTGGAGGGACGCGAACACAGGGAGGCAGTGGAGGGACGCGAACACAGGGAGGCAGTGGAGGGACGCGAACACAGGGAGGGAGTGGAGGGACGCGAACACAGGGAGGGAGTGGAGGGACGCGAACACAGGGAGGGAGTGGAGGGACGCGAACACAGGGAGGCAGTGGAGGGACGCGAACACAGGGAGGCAGTGGAGGGTATAGTCTCCTTAAAGTTGTTTATGGCCAAAGAAAATGTGTAAGCGCAAAACAGAAAGTGCGCTTCTGAAATACAGATGTTACTTTTTTTCCATAATGTTCAGAATCAATTGAGCTCTATTCCTTTTTCTGTTCGTCAAAAGAACCTCCAAATGCATTCTCCGCTGTTTTCTCCGCTCTCTTATCATGGATTGTGTTGCGTTTGGAGATTTGCATTGTGACAGACGTTAGCTTCGTTAGCGGTGACAAGGAGAGAGACGTTCTCTGTGCGTCTGTCAGAATCTGTCAGGCTCCACACCCACAAACGGCAGACGATTATCTAATTATTCACTCAGACTTTAGAGAAACAGGACGCAGAGAATGTGGAGGGAAGACGGCAGAGTCAAAGCACCGGGTTACGGTCAAAGTTACTCATGGCTTTTATCGGATGTGTGTTTATGGTCTCGGTTTTAAAAGTTATTCTCTACATATTTGCGCGTTCATGAACTTATTCCATCTTGTTCAGGTCTGGCTTTAACTGGCAGGAGTGTAGAGACTGGACCAATCACAGAGCAGCAAAGACTGGACCAATCACAGAGCAGCAACGATTGGACCAATCACAGAAGAGCAAAGACTGGACCAATCACAGTTGCTTCTTAATTATGCTAAAGTTACAGATTTCATCCTAGCTTCTTTATTAGGCTAAAGGCCCCGTCCACACGTAGCCGGGTTTCTGCTAAACCGCAGATATTTTTCTTCGTTTGCACCTGTCATCCCCATGACAACGCATCATAAACAAATATATTAAAAAAACTCCGGGCAAAGTGGAGATTTTTAAAAACTCTGTTTATGCATTTGCTGTAGACTGAGATTACTGGAGTTTTGTGTTTTCGTCACGGTCTGCCCCAAAACAACAACAAACAAAACATGTGTGTGTCTGTATGTGCGTGTGTGTGTGGCTATATGTGTGTGTGTGTGTGGCTATATGTGTGTGTGTGTGTATGTATGTGTGTGTGTGGCTATATGTGTGTGTGTGTGTGTGTGTGGCTATATGTGTGTGTGTCTGTATGTGTGTGTGTGTCTGTATGGCTATATGTGTGTGTGTCTGTATGTGCATGTGTGTGTCTGTATGTGTGTGTGTCTGTATGTGTGTCGGTATATATGTGTATGTGTGTCTGTATATATGTGTATGTGTGTGTGTCAGTTTGTGTGTGTGCGAGCGTGTGTGTAGCTGTCAAAGCGTTGCGTTGTTACGGCAGTATGTTGAATGTTAATATGAACCAGTTCTGACCTTGGTTTAAACGCTTCATAAATCTAAAATAAAGTGATGTCACATGATTTATTCATAACTTATTCATAAAACTGGTATTAAAAAGAAAAATAATGGTTTTTGATTAAATAGAAAAAGATACAAACCTATAATTATAAGCTATAATAACGATAAAAAGCTATAATTCTGTATATCAGCTCACACTGCACTCTTTATACACGGGACTTTTTATTTAATCTGCATTTGACATGGAACAGTGCACATTAATCAACATGTGTTTTTCAACATGTAAATGTGCCAGAGTTAGCATGTATGCTAATATGTAGTCCCAGGGCAGGGTGATATACAGACAGACAAAACATACAACAGACACACACACAGACACACACACAGACACACACCATCACAGAGACACAACACGGAGCAGGTAACAGAAAGAGAGAGCAGAGAGAGACCTGAGAGCGAGACCTGAGAGAGAGACCAGAGAGAGACCAGAGAGAGAGACCAGAGAGAGACCTGAGAGAGAGACCAGAGAGAGAGACCAGAGAGAGACCAGAGAGAGAGACCAGAGAGAGACCTGAGAGCGAGACCTGAGAGAGAGACCAGAGAGAGACCAGAGAGAGAGACCAGAGAGAGACCTGAGAGAGAGACCAGAGAGAGAGACCAGAGAGAGACCTGAGAGAGAGACCAGAGAGAGACCAGAGAGAGAGACCAGAGAGAGACCTGAGAGAGAGACCAGAGAGAGAGACCAGAGAGAGACCTGAGAGAGAGACCAGAGAGAGAGACCAGAGAGAGACCAGAGAGAGAGACCAGAGAGAGACCTGAGAGCGAGACCTGAGAGAGAGACCAGAGAGAGACCTGAGAGAGAGACCAGAGAGAGACCTGAGAGCGAGACCTGAGAGCGAGACCTGAGAGAGAGACCAGAGAGAGACCAGAGAGAGAGACCAGAGAGAGACCTGAGAGAGAGACCAGAGAGAGAGACCAGAGAGAGACCTGAGAGAGAGACCAGAGAGAGAGACCAGAGAGAGACCAGAGAGAGAGACCAGAGAGAGACCTGAGAGCGAGACCTGAGAGAGAGACCAGAGAGAGACCTGAGAGAGAGACCAGAGAGAGACCTGAGAGCGAGACCTGAGAGCGAGACCTGAGAGAGAGACCAGAGAGAGACCAGAGAGAGAGACCAGAGAGAGACCTGAGAGAGAGACCAGAGAGAGAGACCAGAGAGAGACCTGAGAGAGAGACCAGAGAGAGAGACCAGAGAGAGACCAGAGAGAGAGACCAGAGAGAGACCTGAGAGCGAGACCTGAGAGAGAGACCAGAGAGAGACCTGAGAGAGAGACCAGAGAGAGACCTGAGAGCGAGACCTGAGAGCGAGACCTGAGAGAGAGACCAGAGAGAGACCAGAGAGAGAGACCAGAGAGAGAGACCAGAGAGAGTCCAGAGAGAGGGACCAGAGAGAGACCAGAGAGAGACCTGAGAGAGAGACTTGAGAGAGAGACCAGAGAGAGACCAGAGAGAGACCAGAGAGAGAGACCAGAGAGAGAGACCTGAGAGAGAGACCAGAGAGAGACCAGAGAGAGAGACCAGAGCGAGACCTGAGAGAGAGACCAGAGAGAGACCTGAGAGCGAGACCTGAGAGCGAGACCTGAGAGAGAGACCAGAGAGAGACCAGAGAGAGAGACCAGAGAGAGAGACCAGAGAGAGTCCAGAGAGAGGGACCAGAGAGAGACCAGAGAGAGAGACCAGAGAGAGACCGAGAGAGAGACTTGAGAGAGAGACCAGAGAGAGACCAGAGAGAGACCAGAGAGAGAGACCAGAGAGAGAGACCTGAGAGAGAGACCAGAGAGAGACCTGAGAGCGAGACCTGAGAGAGAGACCAGAGAGAGACCTGAGAGCGAGACCTGAGAGCGAGACCTGAGAGAGAGACCAGAGAGAGACCAGAGAGAGAGACCAGAGAGAGAGACCAGAGAGAGAGACCAGAGAGAGACCAGAGAGAGACCAGAGAGAGAGACCAGAGAGAGACCAGAGAGAGAGACCAGAGAGAGACCAGAGAGAGACCAGAGAGAGAGACCAGAGAGAGACCAGAGAGAGAGACCAGAGAGAGACCAGAGAGAGAGACCTGAGAGAAACTAGAGAGAGAGACCAGAGAGAAACTAGAGAGAGACCTTCAACACATCTTGATACAGGAGCCTTCATATATGTTACTAAACAATTTGAACAAAAATGTAAATATTTAGTTAAAATGATGAGTATTTATAGAAACACATTTTTCAGCACAGCCTAAGACACAATAACCACGGCTGGTAAATCACATGTATGTTGTTGTTAGCTAGTTCCTGTTTAACACGGACGTAGCCGTCATGTAAAGTTTCCTCAGTTCCTACACTTTATTATTGACTAAAACTTGTGAAAATTGCTTTTGAGGCAGATTCAGTTTTGACGCGTCTCGAGCCGTTCCTGCGTCGCCATTTTGTAAAAATATGTGTTTATCTCATCCTTGGCTCCGATAAAGGGCATATGCAAATCAGCTGCTAAAACTGTCCTCTCCAACGCTGTATACTTTTAGCCTCGCACTAATCTGTCACCGGCTCGTCACAACTTACTGGGACACGCCTTAGTCCTCGCTCTCCCTGACCTTGTGCCCAAAAGCAGAGCGTCTCCAGAACACAGCCGCAGAGTCTGAGTTTGAGAGTTGTAGAGTTTTAGAGATGCAGGGTCTCAGCGTTAGCCTGAAGCTACGTTAGCGCTGTCTCAGGGGAGCGCATGAAGCCGCTAACGAGGCGCTCGGGCCGTCGCCGTGATGGATGGACCTGTCACATCAGAGAGGAAGTGGGCCACTGTCCACACAAGACACTGTCTCTGTCCACACAAGACACTGTCCACACTGTCTCTGTCCACACTGTCTCTGTCCACACAAGACACTGTCCACACAAGACACTGTCTCTGTCCACACAAGACACTGTCCACACAAGACACTGTCTCTGTCCACACAAGACACTGTCCACACAAGACACTGTCCACACTGTCTCTGTCCACACTGTCTCTGTCCACACAAGACACTGTCCACACAAGACACTGTCCACACTGTCTCTGTCCACACAAGACACTGTCCACACAAGACACTGTCTCTGTCCACACAAGACACTGTCCACACAAGACACTGTCCACACTGTCTCTGTCCACACAAGACACTGTCCACACAAGACACTGTCCACACTGTCTCTGTCCACACAAGACACTGTCCACACTGTCTCTGTCCACACAAGACACTGTCCACACTGTCTCTGTCCACACAAGACACTGTCCACACAAGACACTGTCCACACAAGACACTGTCCACACAAGACACTGTCCACACTGTCTCTGTCCACACAAGACACTGTCTCTGTCCACACTGTCTCTGTCCACACAAGACACTGTCCACACAAGACACTGTCCACACAAGACACTGTCCACACAAGACACTGTCCACACAAGACACTGTCCACACTGTCTCTGTCCACACTGTCTCTGTCCACACAAGACACTGTCTCTGTCCACACAAGACACTGTCCACACTGTCTCTGTCCACACTGTCTCTGTCCACACTGTCTCTGTCCACACAACACACTGTCTCTGTCCACACTGTCTCTGTCCACACAAGACACTGTCCAAACTGTCTCTGTCCACACAAGACACTGTCCACACAAGACACTGTCCACACTGTCTCTGTCCACACAAGACACTGTCCACACTGTCTCTGTCCACACAAGACACTGTCCAAACTGTCTCTGTCCACACAAGACACTGTCCACACTGTCTCTGTCCACACTGTCTCTGTCCACACAAGACACTGTCTCTGTCCACACAAGACACTGTCCACACTGTCTCTGTCCACACAAGACACTGTCCACACTGTCTCTGTCCACACAAGACACTGTCCAAAACCGTGAACATGAGACACTGTTGAAACGAGACACTGTCCACTGTCCCCATTGTCCCCCTCTCTTCTGTCTCAGTCTCCTCTGTCTCTCTGTTTGCTCTGTCTCCTCTATACCACTGTCTCTGTCTCTCGTTGTCTCCTCTTTCTCTGTCTCCTCAGTATCTGTCTCTGTCTTCTGTGCCGCTGTATCCTCTGGAGAGTGACCCAGAGAGCGCCCCCTGCAGGTCACTGAGGCCTTTGGAAACACACTGTAATCCTCCAATACTGTCCAAAACCACAGATGAATTCAAATCATTTTCTCAAAGAAAGCTTTAGTTCAAACATCAACAAATCATCAAACCAACCCCAGACTCCTCAGCTCAATACTCTTTAAACACATAATGAAGACCAGTATCATCACCTGTTCTTCTGTTCTCCTTCATGTTATCATGTTATCATGTTATTGGTAATTAGTTTCACCAAACAAAATGTCCACAAACAACACACTGGATATTGTTGAGTGTTAAAGACACCTCTGACCCACACAGACACATGGCCTGTTCTTAAACTGACAAATAAACATGGATTTGGTGAAAACTACGGTCACAAAATGTCAAATTAGGGCCGGGACTTTAACGCATTAATTACGATTAATTAACACCACAAAATTAGTGCGTTTAAAAAATGTGACGCATTTTAATTGCAAATGTTTTTTCCACCGCGGAACCTTCCTCACTAGAGGATGAGTTTCAGACGGACCGATTATGCCGGAGCGCCAACTGAGCTCCGTGACTTTCCTTGTTCAAAAGTACATCATAACAAGTAGGGCTGGACGATATAAACGGTATAAGTGATATAAATTTGGCCAATAGTACAGATTTTGTCATACCGGCTTATTGCGGTAGGTCATTACGTCATCAAATCGCTGGGTTGCACGAGACGGAAGTGCTCCGAGGGACAGGAAGTACATTTCCTCACTAAGAATAGTGTAAACATTCACTCATTCCGAGTTAAAATGCTCTTTTGTCTGTGGCGTGTACAGTTGTGGCAACTGCTCATATCAAGTGTGGAACTTATGGAGTCGCTACTTTGCTAAAACATATTTCTCTAACGGGTGTCAATTTTTTAGGAAAATGCCTAATAAGGAACGGGAGAAATGCGTTAGCATTAGCATTAGCCTGCGTAGCATCTGCGGCCACAGACACAGCTGACAGTCCGCAGTCTTTACTTTCACTTTCACATGTACAATGCAGTATTTTTGTGTGGTATATGGTTAGTAGTAGCCGAGGCAACAGAGAGAAAGAACGGTTCTAATTGCAGCCCCTGCTGTTAGCTCACTCAATGCTGTTAGCTTAACGCTATTAGCTTACTGCTGATAGCTTAACGCTACAGAGTTAAGCTAATAGCAGAGCTCCCCCTGGAGCTCCGTACTTTTGGTTATTTACAGCTCAACAAATCACTGAAATGACAAAGGGTCAGATTTCTGGCTTCAAATGCTTCTAAAGTAACATCTGTGCCATTTTTATTCTGTTATTGATCAGAACTATCATCTCAGACGTGTTTCTGTTGATACCAGAATGACTCCACTGTCAACAGCCTTAATCTTTCTCATTGTTGAAAAGATTGGACTCATTCAAACTCTACAAAGCGTACGCTGCATTAAAATAGTTTTCACTCATAATAAGAGTGATATTAAGCCGTGAAAAGCTCCTGTCTGCGTTTTCCAGCATTGCCCATTCTATTTAATAGGAGAAAAATACTTCCTGTCCTACGGACCCATGCCCCGCCCCCTTTTGGTCACATGGTTGAAACCCAGCAATGCTGCTTGGAAGTTAAAGTTTTATTATGTTCTGTATAATTGTAGTTTTGCACAATACATTTAAATTAGTAACAATCTTGACTATTTCATTCAAGAACCTGCTAGAACTATATTGAAATTCACACCAAATTATACCGCAATATATACGTCTACCGTCTGTGTCCCAGAGTATACTGCAATATATACGTCTACCGTCTGTGTCCCAGAGTATACCACAATATATACGTCTACCGTCTGTGTCCCAGAGTATACCACAATATATACGTCTACCGTCTGTGTCCCAGAGTATACCGCAATATATACGTCTACCGTCTGTGTCCCAGAGTATACCACAATATATACGTCTACCGTCTGTGTCCCAGAGTATACCACAATATATACGTCTACCGTCTGTGTCCCAGAGTATACCACAATATATACGTCTACCGTCTGTGTCCCAGAGTATACCGCAATATATACGTCTACCGTCTGTGTCCCAGAGTATACCACAATATATACGTCTACCGTCTGTGTCCCAGAGTATACCGCAATATATACGTCTACCGTCTGTGTCCCAGAGTATACCGCAATATATACGTCTACCGTCTGTGTCCCAGAGTATACCACAATATATACGTCTACCGTCTGTGTCCCAGAGTATACCACAATATATACGTCTACCGTCTGTGTCCCAGAGTATACCACAATATATACGTCTACCGTCTGTGTCCCAGAGTATACCGCAATATATACGTCTACCGTCTGTGTCCCAGAGTATACCGCAATATATACGTCTACCGTCTGTGTCCCAGAGTATACCACAATATATACGTCTACCGCCTGTGTCCCAGAGTATACCGCAATATATACGTCTACCGTCTGTGTCCCAGAGTATACCACAATATATACGTCTACCGCCTGTGTCCCAGAGTATACCGCAATATATACGTCTACCGTCTGTGTCCCAGAGTATACCGCAATATATACGTCTACCGTCTGTGTCCCAGAGTATACCACAATATATACGTCTACCGCCTGTGTCCCAGAGTATACTGCAATATATACGTCTACCGCCTGTGTCCCAGAGTATACCACAATATATACGTCTACCGTCTGTGTCCCAGAGTATACCGCAATATATACGTCTACCGTCTGTGTCCCAGAGTATACCACAATATATACGTCTACCACGCCTGTGTCCCAGAGTATACCTATATACGTCTACCGTCTGTGTCCAGAGTATACCGCAGTATGAATTTTAGGCCATATTGCCCACCCCTAATAACAAGCATAGACCAACTTTAGCGGTGTCTAAATCTGAGTGAATTAGATCCATGTTAGAGACGGGAAAGAGCGCTGTGTTTGGAGCTATGGTGTGTGAGGAGGAGCAAGCGACTCCTCAGAGGAGGAGGAGGTGTAGGAGGAGAGGAGGAGGAGGAGGAGGAGGAGGTAGGGAGGAGGAGGTGGAGGAGGAGGAGGTGGTAGGAGGAGGGGACGGAGGAGGTGTAGGAGGAGGAGGTGGAGAGGAGGAGGAGGTGAGAAGAGAGGAGGAGGAGGAGGAGAAGAGCAGAGGAAGAAGTAGGAGGAGGAGGAGGAGGAGGACGCAGCAGCAAGCGACTCTCGGAAGGAGTGTAATGTACGTATGTTGTTATTATTTATATACCGCCTTTCACAGGAGTCACAAAGCGGTTTACAATTGTTATTTTTGGGCAGTCTCTCACTCCACACAGAGATTGGAGCGGGGCCAGTACAGGAGGCAGATGCCAGACATATTTTTAGTGGTAGGGGAAACCGGAGTACCGGAGGAAACCTACGCAGACACGGGGAGAACATGCAAACTCCACTCAGAAAGGCCCTGGTCCAGGCCGGGATTCGAACCCAGGGACCTTCTTGCTGAGAGGCGAGAGTGCTATCCACTCAGCCACCGTGCGCCGAGAGGAGGAGGAGGAGGAGGAGCATGCACGCGACCCTCAGAGAATGAGGAGGAGGAGGGAGCAGCAAAGCGACCTCCGCAGAGAAGGAGGAGAGGAGCAGCCAGTCACACGCGACTCCTCAGAGAAGGAGGAGGAGGAGGAGCAGCCAAGCGACTCCCTCAGGAAGAGAGGAGGAGGAGGAGCGTAGCGCAGCCGGACACAGGTGTGTGAGCGGCTATTGTTAGATATTTTAGTGGCGAAATGCACAATCGTATTCTCAGCTTTAGTGCTCACTTCCGAGTGCAAGTGGATTTTGGTTCTACAAGCGCTGATTGTGGTCAGAGTGGAGGAGGAGTGAGGAGGAGGAGGAGCAGTGTATGTTGTGGGAACAAGAGTGTGTGGCAGGGAGGAGGGGAGGAGGAGCAGTTGTATGTTTGTCGACTGAGTGTGTGGAGGACAGGCGGAGGGGAGCAGTGTATTGTTGTGGACAGGTGTTTGGAGGAGGAGCGAGGAGGAGCAGTATGATGTGTTGTGGACAGTGTGTGAGGAGGAGGAGGAGGAGGCGAGCTGTGTGTGTTGTGGACAGAGTGTGATGGCGGAGGAGGATCAGTGAGTGTTGTGGTCAGAGTGTGTGGAGGACGAGGAGGAGGAGGAGCAGTGTGTGTGGTGGTCGAGTGGAGTGGAGGAGGGGAGGAGGAGCCAGTGTGTGTTGTGGTCGTGTGTGTGGAGGAGGGAGGGGAGGAGCGAGAGCAGTGTATCGTTGTGGACAGAGTGTGTGGAGGAGGAGGAGGAGGTGCAGTGTATTTTGATCCCCCCCCCCCCCCCCCCCCCATGTATGGTCAGAGTGAGGAGGCGGAGGAGGAGGAGCAGTGTAAGTTGTGAACGAGTGGGGAGGAGGAGGAGGAGGAGCAGTGTATGTTGTGGGACAGAGTGTGTGGAGGAGGTGGAGGAGCAGTGTTGTGTGGCAGAGTGAGGAGGAGGAGGAGGAGAGCAGTGTATGTTGTGGTCAGAGTGTGGGAGAGGATGGAGGAGGAGAGCAGTGTATGTTGTGGACAGAGTGTGTGGAGGAGGAGGAGGAGAGCAGTGTATGGTGTGGTCTGAGTGAAGGAGTCGGAGAGTGAGGCGCAGTGTAAGTTTGGAACGAGTGTCGGGGAGGAGGAGGAGGAGCATGTAAGATGTGGAAGAGGTGGAGGAGGATGAGGAGCGAGCAGTGTCATGTTGTGGTCAGAGTGAGGTGTGGACGAGGGAGGAGGAGGGGAGCAGTGTATGTTGTGGTCAGAGTGAGGAGGAGGAGGAGGAGGAGTAGTGTAGTTGTGGTCAGAGCTGTGGAGAGGAGGAGTCATGTATGTTGTGGTCAGAGCGTAGACGCGAGTGGAGGAGGAGGAGGAGCGTGTGTGATTGGGAGTGAGGGAGGAGGAGAGGAGGAGGAGCAGTGTGTGGTGTGGACAGAGTGTGTGGAGGAGGAGGAGGGAGGGGAGTGTGTGTGTGGGGATCGGTGTTTGTAGGTGAGCGGAGAGGGAGCATTGTGTATGTTGTGGTACAGAGTGATGGAGGGGAGGAGGAGAGCAGTGTATGTTGTGGACAGAGTGTGTGAGGGGAGAGAGGAGGCAGCAGTGTGGTATGTGGAGAGTGTGATGCGAGGGGAGGTGGAGGAGCAGTGTATGTTGTGGACAAGTGAGGAGGAGAGAGAGCAGTGTGTGTGGTGAGAAGAGTTGAGGAGGAGGATGAGGAGAGCATGTGGTTTGACAGTGAGGCGAGGAGGGAGGAGGCGTGTGGTGACAGAGTGTGGAGGTGGAGGAGAGGAGTGTGTGTTGTGGTCAGAGTGTGTGGAGGAGGAGGAAGGAGGAGGAGGAGGAGCAGTGTTGGTTGTGGTCAGTGTGTGGGGAGGAGGAGAGGAGAGGAGCATGTTGTTTGTGGTCAAGTGTGTGGAGGAGGAGGAGAGGAGCAGTGTATTTGTGACAAGTGTGTGGAGGAGGAGGAGGAGGAGCAGTGTGTGTTGTGGAACAGTGTTGGAGGAGGAGGAGGAGGAGGAGCAGTGTGTGTTGTGGACAGAGTGAGTGTGTGGAGGAGGAGGAGGAGGGCATGTATGTTGTGGACAGAGTGTGGTGGAGGAGGAGGAGGAGGAGCAGTGTAATGTTGTGGTCAGAGTGTGTGGAGGAGGAGGAGGAGGAGCAGTGTTTGTTGTGGACAGCGTGGGTGGAGGAGGAGGAGGAGGAGCATGTATGTTGTGAGTCAGAGTGATGGAGGAGGAGGAGGAGGAGCAGTGTATGTTGTGTTCAGAGTGAGGAGGTGGAGGACCCAGGAGTGTATGTTGTGGTCAGAGGTGGAGGAGGAGGAAGGGGGGGAGTGGTATGGTCTGTGGTCAGGAGTTGAGGAGGACGAGGGAGGAGGAGCGTGTATGTTGTGGGGAGGAGGAAGGGGAAGCAGTTTGTATGTTGTGGGGTCCGAGGGACGGAGGGGGGGTGGGAGGGGGAGGAGGAGGGGAGGGCAGGGGGAAGCAGGTATGTTGTTTTTGTGGGGAACATGAGTTGGTTGTGGGGGAGGGGAAGGAAGGGAAGGAGGGGGAAGGCCTGTTGGTATGTTGTTGGTCCAGATCGTTTAGGAGGGGAGTGGGGGAGGGGGAGGGAGGGGCAAGGTAAGTTTGTGGAAAACAGGGAGTTGGGAGGGGGATGGGAGGGAGGGAGGAGGAAAGCCAGTTGTCATGTTTGTGGGGGGAGGGGACACAAAGGCGAGTGTTGGGGTGGAGGAGGAGGGGAAGGGAGGAGGGGTTTGTATGTTTTGTTTGGGGTCCCAAGGGGAAGTGAGGCGGAGGAGGGAGGAGGGAGGAGGAGGGGGGGGGAGGAGGAGGGGAGGGGGAGGCAAAGTCGGTTGTTTTTGTTGGTCAAGGTTTGCAGGGGAGGAGGAGGAGGGGGAGGGAGGCAGTGATTTGGGGGTTGTGGTTTCAGGAGTCCGAGTGAGGGGGGAGGCGGGAGGGGGAAAAGAAAGCAGTGTTTGTTCATGTTGTGGGGGGAACAGGGAGTTGTTGTGGGAGGGAGGGGAGGAGGGAGGGGAGGGGGAGGAGGGGAAGCCAGTGGTTGTTTGGTTGTGGGTCCAGGGAGGTTGTTGGTGGAGGAGGGAGGAGGGGGAGGAGGGAGGAGGGCGGGCCAGTTGTGGTTTTGGTGTTTGTGGGTACCCAGAGGTTGTGTGGGAGGAGGGGAAGGAGGAAGGGGTGAGTTGGTATTGTTGGTGGGGACAGAGTTGTGCGGGGAGGAGGAAGGGGGAGGAGGAGCAAAGGTGGTTATGGTTTGGTGGGACAGGGGAGGTCGTGTGGGAGGGGAGGAGGAAGGGGAGCAGGGTTGATATGTTGGTGGACAGGAGTGTGTGGAGGGGAGGGAGGGGAAGGGGGAGGGGAGGCAGTTTGTGTTGTTGTGGACCCAAGTGTGGTGTGGAGGAAGGAGGGGTGGGTGGAGGGGCAGCCAGTGTTATGTTGTTTGGTTTCCTTCAGGGAAGTGAGGGAGGGGGGGGAGGGAAGGGGGAGGGAAAAAGCCGTGTTAGGTTGTTTGTGGGGGGAACAGTGTGAGGGACGGAGGGGAGGAGGGAGGAGGGCAAGTGTGGTGTTTGTGGGTCAGGAAGTGTGTTGTAGGGGGAGGAGGGGAGGAGGAGGGCGGCGTCCTGGTGTTTGTTGTTTGTGGTCGAGTGTTTGTGGAGGGGAGGAGGAGGGTAGGGAGGAGGGAGGAGGGGAGCAGGTGTGTGGTTGGGTCAGTGTGTGTGGGAGGGAGTGCGCGAGGACGGAGTAGGAGGAAAGCAAGATTGTTTTTGGTGTTGTGTTTGTGGTTTCAGATCCAGAGTTGTTGGTGTGGGAGGAGGGAGGAGGGAGGGGAAGGCAGGATGTATGGGGGTTTGTGGGGGGAACAAGGGCATGAGGGTGTTGGTGGAGGGGAGGGGGGAGGGGGGGAATGGGAGGGAGGCGGGGGGGCAGGTGTTGAGTTGGTGGGTCAGGTGTGGGTGGAGGAGGGAGGGGGAGGAGGGACGGGGTGGGGCAGGTGTTTGGTTGTTTTGTGGGTTTCCCAGAGTGAAGGGGAGGGAGGGGGAGGAGGGGGAGGAGGAGCCAGTGTTATCGGTTTGTTGGGGGGGGGACAGGGAGGGTGTGTGGAGGAAGGAGGGAGGGGGGGGGGGAGGGAGCAGGGTTTTGTATGGTTGTTGGGGTTCCAGAGTGTGTGGGAGAGGAGGGGAGGAGGGGGAGTGGCAGTTGTTATGTTGTTGGGGTGGGGACAAGTATCGAGTGTGTGGAGGGGAGGAAGGAGGTGGGAAAGCCAATGCTATGTGGTTCGGTTCAGGGCGAGTGTGCGGAGGAGGAGGGGAGGGAAGGAAAAAAAAGGGCCAAGAGGCAGTTGTAAGTTGTTTGGAAACAGGGAGTGGGAGGGGAGGGGGAGGGGAGGAGCCAGTTAGTTTGTTTTGTGGGGACAGGGAGTGTGGGAGGGAGGGAGGAGGGAGGGGAGTTGTATGTTTTGGTGGGGTCAGAGTGAGGAGGGGAGAGGGAGGGAGGGGTGAGGAGCAAGTGTATGTTGGTGGGTCAGGAGGTTGGGAGGAGGGGGAGGAAGGGAAGCAGTGTATTGGTTGTGGTCAGAGTTAGAGGAGGAAGGAGGGGAGGGGAGCTGTTGTATGTTGTGGGACCAGGAGTGGAGGAGGAGGAGGAGGGGGGGAAGGAAGCATAGCAGTGGTATGGTTTTGTGAAAACAAGAGCGGCAGTGTTTTGTTGGAGGGAGGGGAGGAGGGAGGGAATGGCAGTTGTATTTATGTTTGTTTGGGGGGGGTTCAGGAGGGTGGGGTGGAAGGGAAGGTGGAGGGAGGGAGGAGAGGGCAGTGTATGGTTGTGGAACAGAATAGTGGTGTTGGTGGAGAGGAGGGGGGAGGGGGAGGAGGGAAAAGCAAGAGCTGGTATATGGGTGTGTGGGGACAGGAGTGTGTGGGAGGGGAGGGGGAGGAGGGGAGGGGGGGAATAAGCAGTGTATGTTTGTGGGGGACCGAGGGTGTTTTGTGGAGGAGGGAGGAGCAGTTGTTTATTGTTTGGGGGTTCTGCGTGTGTGGGAGGGGAGGAGGGAGGGAGGGGGAAGGGCCAGTGTTTGGTATGTTGGGGTGGGGGGGGGGGGGGGGGACCAGAGGTGTGGTGGGCGGAGGGGAGGGGAGGGCAGGGGCGCAAGTGTTATGTTGTGGGGGACAGGAAGTGGTAGGTAGGGGAGGGGAGGGGAGGGAGGGGTCGGGGGGGGGGGGGGGGGGGGGTGGGGGGGGGGGGGGGGGGGGGGGGGGGGGGGGGGGGGGGGGGGGGGGGGGGGGGGGGGGGGGGGGGGCGGGGGGGGGGGGGGGGGGGGGGGGGGGGGGGGGTGGGAGGGGGGGGGGCGGGGGGGGGGGGGGGGGGGGGGGGGGGTGGGGGGGGGGGGGACGGGGGGGGGGGGGGGGGGGGCGGGGGGGTGGGGGGGGGGGGGGGGGGGGGGGGGGGGGGGGGGGGGGGGGCGGGAGGGGAGGGAGGGGGCAGGTTGGTTAATGTTTGGTTGGACAGGAGTTTGTTGTGGGGAGGGAGGGGGGGAGGAGGAATGGGGGAGGCAGTGTGATTGTTTGTGGGTCACAGAGTGTGTGGGGAGGAGGAGGCAGGAGGGGAGGGTGGACGGCAGTTGTATGTTTGTGGACCAAGGGGGGTGTGTGTGGGGCTGGGCGGGGGAGGGGGAGGGAGGAGGGGGGAAAGCAGTGTATGTTGGGGGTCCAGGTGAGGAGAGGGAGGGAGGAGGAAGGTGGAGGCAAGTTGGGGTATGGTTTGTGGAATACAGACACCCAAGGACGTTGAGGGGGGGGGAGGAGGGAAGGGTGGGAGGAAGCAGTGGTAAGGTTTGGATGGGACAAAGGGGAGTGTGTGGGAGGAGGGAGGAGGGGGGAGGGGTGAGTGTTATGTTTTGTGGGTCAGGAGTGAAGGAGGAGGAGGAGGAGGCCCTAGGGAAAACAGAAAGTGTTTATTTTGTGGTTTTCCAGGGGTGAGTGAGGTGGAGGAGGCAAAGCCCAGGTGGTATGTTGTGGTCAGAGTTGAGGGGGAGGGAGGAGGAGGAGGAGCATGGTGGTATGGGGGTTGTTGGGGGGGACAGGGAGTGTTTGTGGAGGAGGGAGGAGGGGGAGGGAGGGGGATGGCAGTGGTATTTTTTGGGTCAGGGAAGTGTGTGGGAGGAGGAGGGGAGGGGAGGTGAAGCAGGTTTGTTATTGTGTGTGGGGGGGACAGGAGGTGTGTGGGAGGAGTGAGGAGGGAAGGAAGGGGGGGGGGGGGGAAGCAGGTATTGTATGTTTTTGTGGTCAGAGTGAGGAGGGGGAGGGGGGTGGGGAGGGAAGAGGCAGGGTTTTGTGTTGTGGGGGGGGGGGCCAGTGTGTGTGGGAGGGAGGAGGAGGGAGGAGGCAGTGTGTGTTGTGGACTGGGGAGGTGTGTTGGGAGGAGGGAGGGGAGGAAGGGGAGCATGTGTGTTGTTTGTTGGGTTTCAAGAAGTGTGGTGCGGGGAGGGGAGGGTGGAGGGAGGAAGGAGGGAGGGAGGGAGGAGCAGGGGCCAGGTGGTGGCGGTCCTTGGTGGGTCCCCAGGGAAGGTGTGTGGAGGGAGGGGGAGGGAGGGAGGGGAGGGAAGGAAGGAGGGGTCAGTGGTGTTGTTAGTTGGGGTTTCAGGGGGAGTGTGTGGGAGGGAGGAGGGGGGGAGGAGCAGTGTTAATGTTGGTGGGAAACCATGGAGTGTTGGGGGGAGGAGGGAGGGAAGGGGGGGGAGCCAGTGTATTGTTGTGGTTCAGGGTTGTTGGAGGAGGGGGAAGGGGAGGAGGGGGGAGCTGTGTAAAAGGTTTGTGGTGAAAACAGAGGTTTGGGGGGGGAGGAGGGGGGAGGGGAGGGAGGCCAGTGTTGTTGTTTTGGGACAGGAGCAGGAGTGTGTGGGAGGGGAGGGGGGAGGGAGGAGGGGAGGGAGGGTGTATGGGTTGGTGGTCAGAGGTGAGGGAGGGAGGGGGGAGGAGGGGGGGGGATAGGTAAAAGGCAGGTGTATGTTGTGGGTCAGAGTTGAAGGAGGGAGGGAGGGGAGGAGGGAGCCAGTTGTGGTTTTGTTGGGTCTGGAGTGAGGGTGGAGGGAGGGAGGGGAGGGGGGGAAGCAAAGTGTTATTTTGTTGTGGTCAGAAGTGAGGGGGGGAGGAGGAGGGGAAAGATAATGTTCTAATTTACACCGAGCTGCTCCATCAACAATACGTACTTTTAAAAAGATCAAATCTATAATGTTTAAGAACATGATAAATAAAAACATTTGGCGCCTTAAAGGAAGGTTTCACTTTCACTAAGTCAGGTTCTTAGAACGAGGCCCATGAGTGAACACGGACCTCAGTCCTCAGGCCCATGAGAGAACACAGACCTCGGTCCTCTCAGGCCCATGAGTGAACACGGACCTCAGTCCTCTCAGGCCCATGAGAGAACACAGACCTCGGTCCTCAGGCCCATGAGAGAACACAGACCTCGGTCCTCTCAGGCCCATGAGAGAACACAGACCTCAGTCCTCTCAGGCCCATGAGTGAACACGGACCTCAGTCCTCTCAGGCCCATGAGAGAACACGGACCTCGGTCCTCAGGCCCATGAGAGAACACAGACCTCGGTCCTCTCAGGCCCATGAGAGAACACAGACCTCGGTCCTCTCAGGCCCATGAGAGAACACAGACCTCAGTCCTCTCAGGCCCATGAGAGAACACGGACCTCGGTCCTCTCAGGCCCATGAGTGAACACGGACCTCAGTCCTCAGGCCCATGAGAGAACACAGACCTCAGTCCTCTCAGGCCCATGAGTGAACACGGACCTCAGTCCTCAGGCCCATGAGAGAACACAGACCTCGGTCCTCTCAGGCCCATGAGAGAACACGGACCTCGGTCCTCTCAGGCCCATGAGTGAACACGGACCTCAGTCCTCTCAGGCCCATGAGAGAACACGGACCTCGGTCCTCAGGCCCATGAGAGAACACAGACCTCGGTCCTCTCAGGCCCATGAGAGAACACGGACCTCGGTCCTCAGGCCCATGAGAGAACACAGACCTCAGTCCTCAGGCCCATGAGAGAACACAGACCTCGGTCCTCTCAGGCCCATGAGTGAACACAGACCTCAGTCCTCAGGCCCATGAGAGAACACAGACCTCGGTCCTCTCAGGCCCATGAGTGAACACGGACCTCAGTCCTCTCAGGCCCATGAGAGAACACGGACCTCAGTCCTCAGGCCCATGAGAGAACACAGACCTCAGTCCTCTCAGGCCCATGAGTGAACACGGACCTCAGTCCTCAGGCCCATGAGAGAACACAGACCTCAGTCCTCTCAGGCCCATGAGTGAACACGGACCTCAGTCCTCAGGCCCATGAGAGAACACAGACCTCGGTCCTCTCAGGCCCATGAGTGAACACGGACCTCAGTCCTCTCAGGCCCATGAGAGAACACGGACCTCGGTCCTCAGGCCCATGAGAGAACACAGACCTCGGTCCTCTCAGGCCCATGAGAGAACACGGACCTCGGTCCTCAGGCCCATGAGAGAACACAGACCTCAGTCCTCAGGCCCATGAGAGAACACAGACCTCGGTCCTCTCAGGCCCATGAGAGAACACGGACCTCAGTCCTCAGGCCCATGAGAGAACACAGACCTCGGTCCTCTCAGGCCCATGAGTGAACACGGACCTCAGTCCTCTCAGGCCCATGAGAGAACACGGACCTCAGTCCTCTCAGGCCCATGAGAGAACACAGACCTCGGTCCTCTCAGGCCCATGAGTGAACACGGACCTCAGTCCTCTCAGGCCCATGAGAGAACACGGACCTCGGTCCTCAGGCCCATGAGAGAACACAGACCTCAGTCCTCAGGCCCATGAGAGAACACAGACCTCAGTCCTCAGGCCCATGAGAGAACACAGACCTCAGTCCTCAGGCCCATGAGTGAACACGGACCTCAGTCCTCTCAGGCCCATGAGAGAACACAGACCTCAGTCCTCTCAGGCCCATTAGAGAACACGGACCTCAGTCCTCTCAGGCCCATGAGAGAACACAGACCTCAGTCCTCTCAGGCCCATTAGAGAACACGGACCTCAGTCCTCTCAGGCCCATGAGAGAACACGGACCTCAGTCGTCTCAGGCCCATGAGAGAACACGGACCTCAGTCGTCTCAGGCCCATGAGTGAACACAGACCTCGGTCCTCTCAGGCCCATGAGAGAACACGGACCTCGGTCCTCTCAGGCCCATGAGAGAACACGGACCTCGGTCCTCTCAGGCCCATGAGAGAACACGGACCTCGGTCCTCTCAGGCCCATGAGAGAACACGGACCTCAGTCGTCTCAGGCCCATGAGTGAACACAGACCTCGGTCCTCTCAGGCCCATGAGAGAACACGGACCTCGGTCCTCAGGCCCATGAGAGAACACAGACCTCGGTCCTCTCAGGCCCATGAGAGAACACGGACCTCGGTCCTCTCAGGCCCATGAGAGAACACGGACCTCAGTCCTCTCAGGCCCATGAGAGAACACGGACCTCGGTCCTCTCAGGCCCATGAGAGAACACGGACCTCAGTCCTCTCAGGCCCATGAGAGAACACGGACCTCGGCCCTCTCAGGCCAGGCCCATGAGTGAACACGGACCTCAGTCCTCAGGCCCATGAGTGAACACGGCCCTCAGTCCTCAGGCCCATGAGAGAACACGGACCTCAGTCCTCTCAGGCCCATGAGTGAACACGGACCTCAGGCCCATGAGAGAACACGGACCTCAGTCCTCTCAGGCCCATGAGAGAACACAGACCTCGGTCCTCTCAGGCCCATGAGTGAACACGGACCTCAGTCCTCTCAGGCCCATGAGAGAACACGGACCTCGGTCCTCAGGCCCATGAGAGAACACAGACCTCAGTCCTCAGGCCCATGAGAGAACACAGACCTCAGTCCTCAGGCCCATGAGAGAACACAGACCTCAGTCCTCAGGCCCATGAGTGAACACGGACCTCAGTCCTCTCAGGCCCATGAGAGAAAACGGACCTCAGTCCTCTCAGGCCCATGAGAGAACACAGACCTCAGTCCTCTCAGGCCCATTAGAGAACACGGACCTCAGTCCTCTCAGGCCCATGAGAGAACACGGACCTCAGTCGTCTCAGGCCCATGAGAGAACACGGACCTCAGTCGTCTCAGGCCCATGAGTGAACACAGACCTCGGTCCTCTCAGGCCCATGAGAGAACACGGACCTCGGTCCTCTCAGGCCCATGAGAGAACACGGACCTCGGTCCTCTCAGGCCCATGAGAGAACACGGACCTCGGTCCTCTCAGGCCCATGAGAGAACACGGACCTCAGTCGTCTCAGGCCCATGAGTGAACACAGACCTCGGTCCTCTCAGGCCCATGAGAGAACACAGACCTCGGTCCTCTCAGGCCCATGAGAGAACACGGACCTCGGTCCTCTCAGGCCCATGAGAGAACACGGACCTCAGTCCTCTCAGGCCCATGAGAGAACACGGACCTCGGTCCTCTCAGGCCCATGAGAGAACACGGACCTCAGTCCTCTCAGGCCCATGAGAGAACACGGACCTCGGCCCTCTCAGGCCAGGCCCATGAGTGAACACGGACCTCAGTCCTCAGGCCCATGAGTGAACACGGCCCTCAGTCCTCAGGCCCATGAGAGAACACGGACCTCAGTCCTCTCAGGCCCATGAGTGAACACGGCCCTCAGTCCTCAGGCCCATGAGAGAACACGGACCTCAGTCCTCTCAGGCCCATGAGTGAACACGGACCTCAGTCCTCTCAGGCCCATGAGTGAACACGGACCTCAGTCCTCTCAGGCCCATGAGTGAACACGGACCTCAGTCCTCTCAGGCCCATGAGAGAACACGGACCTCAGTCCTCTCAGGCCCATGAGTGAACACGGACCTCGGTCTGATTTGTCCTGAAATCCTCTTTATAAAGATGTTAAAGCACCTCCTGTTGAGTCAGAGCAGAGTGGGAGCTTTGCTGGGACGTCCCACAGCAGGAGGAGACTTGCTCCTCAGGTCTTTGGTTTTGAGGCTGATGGGCTGCGCCCCCATGATGGGCTGCGCCCCCATCAGGGCTGGAGCAGAGAGGTGGTGCGCTGCAGACTTCTGCTGCTGAACACTGTTGATGTAGCTGCAGATGAGAAGGGTCACCTCCCGAATCTGAACACACAATATCATCAAGTCATCAGCAGTGGATAGTACTTCATAGTACTTCATAGAACTTCATAGAACTTCATAGTACTTCATAGAACTTCATAGTATTTCATAGTACTTCATAGAACTTCATAAAAATTCATAGTACTTCATAGAACTTCATATTATTTCATAGTACTTCATAGTACTTCATAGTACTTCATAGTACTTCATAGTACTTCATAGAACTTCATAGTACTCAAAGAATGTCATAGAACGTCATAGAACTTCATAGAACTTCATAGTACTTCATATCACTCACTGTCTGAGCAGCACATGGCATAAAAACATAAAAAAACACAGTATATGTCAAACGAATGGCCCCTGGTGGGATAAATAAAATTGTCTGAAGTAGTCTGAAAGTAAGTAATATTTATTTATATAGCGCCTTTCTCAGACCAGAGCCACAAAGAGCTTTACAGTTGTGGGCATTTGTCTCTCACTCCACACAGAGATGGACCTTTTTTCTGAGAAGCGAGAGTGCTAACCACTCAGCCACCATCACAGTGACAGTGAGGTGTTGATCTTCAGTTCAGACCTGGATCCTGATGCATCTCACCAGAAACTACCATTTCTCCACGTGGACCTCCCTCTGGTCTCTCTCTTTCCACGTGGACCTCCCTCTGGTCTCTCTCTTTCCACGTGGACCTCCCTCTGGTCTCTCTCTCCACGTGGACCTCCCTCTGGTCTCTCTCTCCACGTGGACCTCCCTCTGGTCTCTCTCTCCACGTGGACCTCCCTCTGGTCTCTCTCTCCACGTGGACCTCCCTCTGGTCTCTCTCTCCCACGTGGACCTCCCTCTGGTCTCTCTCTTTCCACGTGGACCTCCCTCTGGTCTCTCTCTCCACGTGGACCTCCCTCTGGTCTCTCTATCCACGTGGACCTCCCTCTGGTCTCTCTATCCACGTGGGACCTCCCTCTGGTCTCTCTATCCACGTGGACCTCCCTCTGGTCTCTCTCTTTCCACGTGGACCTCCCTCTGGTCTCTCTCGTTCCACGTGGACCTCCCTCTGGTCTCTCTCTCCACGTGGACCTCCCTCTGGTCTCTCTCTATCCACGTGGACCTCCCTCTGGTCTCTCTATCCACGTGGACCTCCCTCTGGTCTCTCTCTCCACGTGGACCTCCCTCTGGTCTCTCTCTCCACGTGGACCTCCCTCTGGTCTCTCTCTTTCCACGTGGACCTCCCTCTGGTCTCTCTATCCACGTGGACCTCCCTCTGGTCTCTCTCTATCCACGTGGACCTCCCTCTGGTCTCTCACTCCACGTGGACCTCCCTCTGGTCTCTCTCTCCACGTGGACCTCCCTCTGGTCTCTCTCTCCACGTGGACCTCCCTCTGGTCTCTCTCTCCACGTGGACCTCCCTCTGGTCTCTCTCTCCACGTGGACCTCGCTCTGGTCTCTCTCTCCACGTGGACCTCCCTCTGGTCTCTCTCTCCACGTGGACCTCCCTCTGGTCTCTCTCTCCACGTGGACCTCCCTCTGGTCTCTCTCTCCACGTGGACCTCCCTCTGGTCTCTCTCTCCACGTGGACCTCCCTCTGGTCTCTCTCTTTCCACGTGGACCTCCCTCTGGTCTCTCTATCCACGTGGACCTCCCTCTGGTCTCTCTATCCACGTGGACCTCCCTCTGGTCTCTCACTCCACGTGGACCTCCCTCTGGTCTCTCTCTCCACGTGGACCTCCCTCTGGTCTCTCTCTCCACGTGGACCTCCCTCTGGTCTCTCTCTCCACGTGGACCTCCCTCTGGTCTCTCTCTCCACGTGGACCTCGCTCTGGTCTCTCTCTCCACGTGGACCTCCCTCTGGTCTCTCTCTCCACGTGGACCTCCCTCTGGTCTCTCTCTCCACGTGGACCTCCCTCTGGTCTCTCTCTCCACGTGGACCTCCCTCTGGTCTCTCTCTCCACGTGGACCTCCCTCTGGTCTCTCTCTCCACGTGGACCTCCCTCTGGTCTCTCTCTATCCACGTGGACCTCCCTCTGGTCTCTCTCTCCACGTGGACCTCCCTCTGGTCTCTCTCTCCACGTGGACCTCCCTCTGGTCTCTCTCTCCACGTGGACCTCCCTCTGGTCTCCCTCCCTCTGGTCTCCCTCTCCACGTGGACCTCCCTCTGGTCTCTCTCTCCACGTGGACCTCCCTCTGGTCTTTCTCTCCACGTGGACCTCCCTCTGGTCTCTCTCTCCACGTGGACCTCCCTCTGGTCTCTCTATCCACGTGGACCTCCCTCTGGTCTCTCTCTCCACGTGGACCTCCCTCTGGTCTCTCTCTCCACGTGGACCTCCCTCTGGTCTCTCTCGCCACGTGGACCTCCCTCTGGTCTCTCTCTCCACGTGGACCTCCCTCTGGTCTCTCTCTCCACGTGGACCTCCCTCTGGTCTCTCTCTATCCACGTGGACCTCCCTCTGGTCTCTCTCTCCACGTGGACCTCCCTCTGGTCTCTCTCTCCACGTGGACCTCCCTCTGGTCTCTCTATACACGTGGACCTCCCTCTGGTCTCTCTCTCCACGTGGACCTCCCTCTGGTCTCTCTCTCCACGTGGACCTCCCTCTGGTCTCTCTCTCCACGTGGACCTCCCTCTGGTCTCTCTCTCCACGTGGACCTCCCTCTGGTCTCTCTCTCCACGTGGGCCTCCCTCTGGTCTCTCTCTCCACGTGGACCTCCCTCTGGTCTCTCTCTCCACGTGGACCTCCCTCTGGTCTCTCTCTCCACGTGGACCTCCCTCTGGTCTCTCTCTCCACGTGGACCTCCCTCTGGTCTCTCTCTCCACGTGGACCCTCCCTCTGGTCTCTCTCTCCACGTGGACCTCCCTCTGGTCTCTGTCCACGTGGACCTCCCTCTGGTCTCTCTGTCCACGTGGACCTCCCTCTGGTCTCTCTCTCCACGTGGACCTCCCTCTGGTCTCTCTCTCCACGTGGACCTCCCTCTGGTCTCTCTCTCCACGTGGACCTCCCTCTGGTCTCTCTCTCCACGTGGACCTCTCTCGGGTCTCTCTCTCCACGTGGACCTCCCTCGGGTCTCGCTCTCCACGTGGACCTCCCTCGGGTCTCTCTCTCCACGTGGACCTCCCTCGGGTCTCTCTCTCCACGTGGACCTCCCTCTGGTCTCTCTCTCCACGTGGACCTCCCTCTGGTCTCTCTCTCCACGTGGACCTCCCTCTGGTCTCTCTCTCCACGTGGACCTCCCTCTGGTCTCTCTCTCCACGTGGGCCTCCCTCTGGTCTCTCTCTCCACGTGGGCCTCCCTCTGGTCTCTCTCTCCACGTGGGCCTCCCTCTGGTCTCTCTCTCCACGTGGACCTCCCTCTGGTCTCTCTCTCCACGTGGACCTCCCTCTGGTCTCTCTCTCCACGTGGACCTCCCTCTGGTCTCTCTCTCCACGTGGACCTCCCTCTGGTCTCTCTCTCCACGTGGACCTCCCTCTGGTGTCTCTCTCCACGTGGACCTCCCTCTGGTCTCTCTATCCACGTGGACCTCCCTCTGGTCTCTCTTCCACGTGGACCTCCCTCTGGTCTCTCTCTCCACGTGGACCTCCCTCTGGTCTCTCTCTCCACGTGGACCTCCCTCTGGTCTCTCTCTCCACGTGGACCTCCCTCTGGTCTCTCTCTATCCACGTGGACCTCCCTCTGGTCTCTATCTATCCACGTGGACCTCCCTCTGGTCTCTCTATCCACGTGGACCTCCCTCTGGTCTCTCTCTCCACGTGGACCTCCCTCTGGTCTCTCTCTCCACGTGGACCTCCCTCTGGTCTCTCTCTCCACGTGGACCTCCCTCTGGTCTCTCTCTCCACGTGGACCTCCCTCTGGTCTCTCTCTCCACGTGGACCTCCCTCTGGTCTCTCTCTCCACGTGGGCCTCCCTCTGGTCTCTCTCTCCACGTGGGCCTCCCTCTGGTCTCTCTCTCCACGTGGGCCTCCCTCTGGTCTCTCTCTCCACGTGGGCCTCCCTCTGGTCTCTCTCTCCACGTGGACCTCCCTCTGGTCTCTCTCTCCACGTGGACCTCCCTCTGGTCTCTCTATCCACGTGGACCTCCCTCTGGTCTCTCTCTCCACGTGGACCTCCCTCTGGTCTCTCTCTATCCACGTGGACCTCCCTCTGGTCTCTCTCTCCACGTGGACCTCCCTCTGGTCTCTCTCTCCACGTGGACCTCCCTCTGGTCTCTCTCTCCACGTGGACCTCCCTCTGGTCTCTCTCTCCACGTGGACCTCCCTCTGGTCTCTCTCTCCACGTGGACCTCCCTCTGGTCTCTCTCTCCACGTGGACCTCCCTCTGGTCTCTCTCTCCACGTGGACCTCCCTCTGGTCTCTCTCTCCACGTGGACCTCCCTCTGGTCTCTCTCTCTCCACGTGGACCTCCCTCTGGTCTCTCTCTCCACGTGGACCTCCCTCTGGTCTCTCTGTCCACGTGGACCTCCCTCTGGTCTCTCTGTCCACGTGGACCTCCCTCTGGTCTCTCTATCCACGTGGACCTCCCTCTGGTCTCTCTCTCCACGTGGGCCTCCCTCTGGTCTCTCTCTCCACGTGGACCTCCCTCTGGTCTCTCTCTCCACGTGGACCTCCCTCTGGTCTCTCTATCCACGTGGACCTCCCTCTGGTCTCTCTCTCCACGTGGACCTCCCTCTGGTCTCTCTCTCCACGTGGACCTCCCTCTGGTCTCTCTCTCCACGTGGTCCTCCCTCTGGTCTCTCTCTCCACGTGGACCTCCCTCTGGTCTCTCTATACACGTGGACCTCCCTCTGGTCTCTCTCTCCACGTGGACCTCCCTCTGGTCTCTCTCTCCACGTGGACCTCCCTCTGGTCTCTCTATACACGTGGACCTCCCTCTGGTCTCTCTCTCCACGTGGACCTCCCTCTGGTCTCTCTGTCCACGTGGACCTCCCTCTGGTCTCTCTATCCACGTGGACCTCCCTCTGGTCTCTCTCTCCACGTGGGCCTCCCTCTGGTCTCTCTCTCCACGTGGGCCTCCCTCTGGTCTCTCCACGTGGGCCTCCCTCTGGTCTCTCTCTCCACGTGGACCCTCCCTCTGGTCTCTCTCTCCACGTGGACCTCCCTCTGGTCTCTGTCCACGTGGGCCTCCCTCTGGTCTCTCTCTATCCACGTGGACCTCCCTCTGGTCTCTCTCTCCACGTGGACCTCCCTCTGGTCTCTCTCTCCACGTGGACCTCCCTCTGGTCTCTCTCTCCACGTGGACCTCCCTCTGGTCTCTCTCTCCACGTGGACCTCCCTCTGGTCTCTCTCTCCACGTGGACCTCCCTCTGGTCTCTCTCTCCACGTGGACCTCCCTCTGGTCTCTCTCTCCACGTGGGCCTCCCTCTGGTCTCTCTATCCACGTGGACCTCCCTCTGGTCTCTCTCTCCACGTGGACCTCCCTCTGGTCTCTCTCTCCACGTGGACCTCCCTCTGGTCTCTCTCTCCACGTGGACCTCCCTCTGGTCTCTCTCTCCACGTGGACCTCCCTCTGGTCTCTCTCTCCACACGTGGACCTCCCTCTGGTCTCTCTATCCACGTGGACCTCCCTCTGGTCTCTCTATACACGTGGACCTCCCTCTGGTCTCTCTCTCCACGTGGACCTCCCTCTGGTCTCTCTATACACGTGGACCTCCCTCTGGTCTCTCTATACACGTGGACCTCCCTCTGGTCTCTCTATACACGTGGACCTCCCTCTGGTCTCTCTATCCACGTGGACCTCCCTCTGGTCTCTCTATACACGTGGACCTCCCTCTGGTCTCTCTCTCCACGTGGACCTCCCTCTGGTCTCTCTATACACGTGGACCTCCCTCTGGTCTCTCTCTCCACGTGGACCTCCCTCTGGTCTCTCTATACACGTGGACCTCCCTCTGGTCTCTCTCTCCACGTGGACCTCCCTCTGGTCT